TATATGAGAAGAAGTGCCATGTTGTGGTTCTAGACCCAGAAACTTCAGAGTTCTCTACTCCTTTTAAAAATGACTATCAATTATGCCTATTACTCTTTCACTTATGGACACCTTGTTTTGCCTGGCATACAAAGTAAGGTTGGGAAAAATAAAATATTGCTTATTTTATCATACTTTGGTCAATACTACTTTTCTATTAAAATGTCTTTATTTTATACATGCTTTAATCCAAACACTTGATTTGCACATATAGTCCATCCAATTTAATGAAAATTTTCATAAAACTTAATTGGTAAAGCCAATCATTATTGTCAAACAAATGAGCCAAATAAGGCAATGTTCAAAAAAATTATGATTTCATTTTTCAGTTCAAATAAGCATGATAATACTCTTCCCCAAAGCTCAGTTAGAAATCTAAGGTAAATAAAACACAGAGCCTTGCCATGAGCTTACAAAGTAACATTTTAGGGTCTTATCAACAGTTACACTGTCTTTACTTTGCTTTTCTGAGATATTCTCTCCAGATATAGTCTTTCATAATAGACAGGGGCTGGATGAGATAAAGTCTCAAAGGAAGGCAGTTATCACTCCTGCTGTTTATATATATGTATATGAAATGAATATTAATTTAGACTATCCCAACATGGGCAAAACAACACATTTCTAATTCATCACTTCATCCTTAACAGAAAAATGTATGAAAAGAGGGAGAGACATGAGAATACATGTGGGTTTAAGAATTCCTTTATTAAAGAAATTTCACTGACATCATTATTTTGAAATTTTTTTCTGTCTTTGGTCCATGGAGGACTTTACCAAGATAAGGCATCATCATCATATTTTGAGTAAAAGCCATGTCTTCTTCTTCTTCTTTTTTTTTTTTTTTTTGAGGTAGAGACAGACATTTCTGCTAAAAGAAATGGGAAAGAAGAACTAGCATGACACCTTGATCTCAGGCAAGTAACTTCTAAGAAAGAATATATATAAAGGTTAAAGAATCTGGAAACTGAACTCCCCAGCAATATCCCTGCCCCTGTATCCCTTGGAAGTCTTTATGTACCCACAGGGTACTTGTTCTCAATCTAAAGACTGTTAACATGGAGAATGTATTTCAATAGCCCATGGAAACTACATAATTAGTCAAGGAGATCTTTAACTTCTGTCAGGCAGAGGTAAGAGACCACTGAGGCAACCAAGGTTTATGGAGATAGAGGCCCTACTATGAATATTTAGGAGGAGCCTGGACCCATGAATAACTGAATAGAGCAAAGTTGGTGTGGATGAGAAATAAACCTTTGTTGTGTCAAGTCAATGAGATTTGGGGATTGTTTGCTACAGTATTAAGCCTCCCCTGACTAAGAGAGTAGCAGATGATGCTACTGCAGATGTGATGTGGCTTTATCATCTAGGATTGTAATATCCAGGTAGGGAATTGAATGGGAGTTATAGACAATTCTCTAGGGAGAGGCAGTGCCAGGGAAAGCCAGGATGGGGCCAAACCAAGAGACTAGACTACACATTACACCAATTACAGACTTAACAGAGATGCCAGCAGGATTCCCAGTCAGTTATCACCTACTCCCCCTGTACCACAAGGACACAAGTGGAAGTGAAAGTGAATGTCACTCAGTCATGTCCAACTCTTTGTGACCCCTTGGACTATACAGTCCATGGAATTCTTCAGGCTAGAATACTGGAGTATTCAGTATACTAGTACTCTAATATACTGTATACTATACTAGTATACAGTATTCAGTATCCAGTATACTCCAGGGGATCGTCCCAACCCAGGGATCGAACCTAGATCTCCCACATTGCAGGAAGATTCTTCACCACTGAGCCATAAGGGAACTCCAAGAATACTGGAGTCGGTAGCCTATCCCTTCTCCAGAGGATCTTCCTGACCCAGGAATTGAACCGGGGTCTCCTGCATTGCAGGCAGATTCTTTACCAGCTGAGCTATCAGGGAAGCCCCCACCACAAGGACACAACAAGTTTCATATATCCAATCACCATTTTGAGGCGGGAATGTCAATTCCAGAAGACTGAATGTTCATCTAATGAGACCATGTAATGCACCCTTGATAGGAAGTGGAATTTTCAATAGAAGAAACATTTAAACTGAGACAGTTGAAATTGGAAGAGCCCAAGATATCCTTGGTTGGAAAGATCTAAAATTTTCCATCACTCAGAGCTATAGAGAATAATTGACTCTTTTTGGAGGGGGCATATTAATTATCCAGTCTCATCACTTCATGGCAAATAGATGGGGAAACAATGGAAACAGTCACAGACTTTATTTTTTTGGGCTCCAAAATCACTGCAGATGGTGATTGCAGCCATGAAATTAAAAGACACTTGCTCCTTGGAAGAAAAGCTATGACCAACCTAGACAGCATATTAAAAAGCAGAGACATTACTTAGCCAACAAAGGTCCATCTCATCAAAGCTATGGTTTTTCCAGTAGTCATGTATGGATGCTAGAGTTGGACCATAAAGAAAGCTGAGCGCTGAAGAATTGATGCTTTTGAATTGTGGTGTTGGAGAAGACTCTTGAGAGTCCCTTAGACTGCACGGAGATCCAACCAGTCCATCCTAAAGGAAATCAGTCCTGAATATTCAATGGAAGGACTGATGCTGAAGCTGAAACTCCAATACTTTGGCCACCTGATGCGAAGAACTGACTCATTGGAAAAGACCCTGATAGTGGGAAAGATTGAAGTCAGGAGGAGAAGGGGATGACAGAGGATGAGATGGTTGGATAGCATCACCAACTCGATGGATGTAAGTTTGAGTAAGCTCGGGGAGTTGGTGATGGACATGGAAGCCTGGCGTGCTGCAGTCCATGGGGTCACAAAGGTTTGGACATGACTGAGTGACTGAACTGAACTGAGTTTGCTACATTTTTTCTTTTCTTGTATAGCTATGAAGTCTAGCTCAGATAAAAAATAGTTGTGGAAGAAAGTTTTTTTTTTTAAAGTGCACGTATATGAATAAAGCAGAATATCTCAGTACTTTTTATTTCTGTACTTTCATTAATGGTAAGTAGTGTGTGACCTGTCCATGAGGATGTGGTTTAATACTAAATATCAAAGTACAGAGCACTGACACGCAATACAGTTTTTTCCTGCAAATTGTTTTACTAATGACATACTTTGTCAAATTTTTATGTGTGACTGACTATTCGCTTCAATATACCTTGACTAGAAGGATAATTGATTAGCAGTTTTTAGCAAGACAACTGACAAGAACAGAAGTTTAATTTCACTTGACAGATTATTAAATTGAGCTAAACATCTGGTTAGTCCAAACCAGTTTTTCTTTTCAGTCATAAACACACAAACTGCCACATAATGTAATATCTTAAAAAATAAAGTCCCTGAACAAACAAAATTATGGAAGTAGATTGTCTCAGCGTGTAGCAAACAGCTGCTTTTGGACTCTATATTAACTATTTCAGGCCACAAAGACTTCATTCTTAGGACACATTCTTCAAATTGTGTTTCTAATGATGATAGTTTTCCACATAGAGGCTTATTCCTACTTTCTCTAAGCTTCCTCTTGTGACTGTTTGCCACCAGTTTTGAGGCAGCTGGTTGTAATAATGAAAATGCACACTCTAGGGAGACTCTCCCAGTTTCTGTTGTAGGCCCTTACTTAGTCTTCATACCCACCTGATATTTTATTCTTATATGTTTCTTGACTGCTTTACTGTTGGTTTTCCTTCATTAGAAACTAAGTGCTTACCCCAGTACCTCCAGTTTCTAAAATGGCTCTTGGTTCTTAACTTGATAAACATTTATGTAATGAGTAAAGTTTTGAACATTGACTATGAAGTCTTTTTTTGTTTATAAGAAATGAATGAAGGAAGACCAAGTCTGTGATTTTTAATTTATGGATTAGTATCATGCTTTTATTTTTTACTGACCACACTAACTAGTCCAATGCAAATGGAGTTGGTTCCCCCAAACCATAATTTACTAACTAAACTCTATATAGCAAAGGTATCTAGATTACTCTGCAGAGTAATTTTTTAGTACTTCTCATCACATCCTCTAGTCTCATTCTAATGAAACTGTAATTCAGATCTTTAACTTTCCCCTTTAAATTCAAGTTACATTTGATATCATTTGGTTGTTAGGAGTGGTATACACTTTATATCTTTAGTCTTAAATAAAGCTCATAAATTTTAACAGTATTAAGATTTCAGTGTATTCCTTTGAGCTTATCTATAAGGTTTTTTTTAAGACTAACTTTGTTATCAGTTAGTAATTGATGATTTAGGTCACATTGCATGATTGCTTGTGAAAGTGTGCTGCTAAAAGATCTTTACTATTTATTTATTTTTTTTCCAGTAGATCTTTACTATTTAAAAAAAGGTTATTTTTCTTTTCCTTTAGTTTGAGAAGACAGAACTAATAAAAATGAATGTCACCCTAAATATTAGTATAGAGTCCAGAACCTGTGAGTATTAAGCTGAGATACTAGTGTTTTGCAAACCCTGCTGTTAAACTGATTGAATAAAAACCAAACAAGAATCCTCTCAGAAGCCTTTTCTTTTTCCTCTCTTATACTAGTGTAGGACTTTAAAATTTGTTTTGCTTCCCACCCCCACCTCTCTTTTAATGGAATGAGTATTGGTAAACATTTGAATAGATATCAGATTAGCTTAAAAATTCCCCAGAATTTTTGGTAAAAGCATATTAATGGAAAAACTATTATTCATGTTGTTTTGAGGGGTCTCATTTGGGAGTTTCTTTTAATAGTTCTTGTTTTCTGAATAATAAGCACTGTAAAATTTCCCCCTTTTAAGAATAGATCACAGTTTGAGGAAATAAATAAATGAACACCTATCTGATTTGGTTACAATTCAAAACCAGTAGTCATTTTCAGAATAACTAAGATGGTGACACGATTCACATTATAGTGGCATCTGGTCTGTAAAGGAAAATACTCTTCTTTGCTCATCCTCACCGCCGTGACGTTCTCTCACTTCATTATTATTGGTCATTCTTCTCAAGGTCAGAAATGAGAATATTTTCTTCTAAATGTATTGTACTAAAGTTGGCTGAAGGATAGTAAGGATTTCTAAACTGAGCAAGTCTCCTGAAGATAACGTTACTGTGCTTGTATATGCAGAAGGAAAGTGTGGAAATTGCCAGAATTACTATCAGTGTCAGTGCTACTGTAAGAGGTATAATGCTGTGACTCGGTCCTGCAAGGAGATGAAAAAAGAAAACTTCAGTGACAATGAAGTCAGATAGCTACTGTCACATAGTTACTTTCTATTTTACTTCTATGAAAAATCAAAATGTTCTCTACTGTCCCAAACCTACCTTTTCCTGGATGCTTCTTTACTGTGTGAATATCTAAAATCAAATACAAAAATACTGAGATGAAATTTTCCTTTTAATTCAGCAAAGTTATGGCATTACTTCAGAAGATGACAGCCCATGGATCAAATCTGAGCACATGTTTTTATAAATAATGTTTTATTAGAACTCAGCCATGTTTCTGTCATCTTTGGCTGCTTCTTTGCTATAGTTGAAGTGTGACAGAGACCATATGGCTCCTATATCCTGAAATATTTACTATTTAATCCTTTACAAGAAAAATTTGCTGACCCCTGATTTATATAATCATCATTATTAGTGCTCACAAAGACATATACCACCTTTTTTTAAGCTGAAGAATCCTCATCCAGTCTCAGCACTGTGCTGCCAAAATATGAGTAAAACATAGTCCCTGCCTACAAGGATCTCAGTTTTGTTGGGATCTGATGTGGAGTTGGTCCAGTAATGATAACCTCCCTGGCTTTTTGCAGATTTAAAAAATGAGTACCCTCTCATGTCTCAAGAATCTTGGGAAATGAATAATATCTCTTCCGTTCAAAAAGTTTGAGGGTTCCTGTTTGAGGATCTTCTACTGAAAGAATATATCTTTTCCACGTAGACTCTATATCAGAATTTGAACTCTGGTATTTTTTATCTAGGCAAAGATCCAGAGAAATATACAGGGAATGACCCAGAGAAAGAGCAGTAAAGGACTTGTCGGTGGAGGACTACTTGATGCACTACTTAAGACCCATGAAGAAATGTCAACATTGTTACCAGTAACAAAAATACACACACACATATATATATAAAACCTTGATTTTGCAATTTAAAAATAATACTGTATGATTTTACATAATATTATTGAAAACATAGTATTGTGTATGGGTAAGGATACTTTTCAAAGAAAGACTGATGAATGGGTATTCATTCTCAGGATGGAGGCAGTGGGCAGGTGTAGAAGGGACACATCGAGTCAGAAAATTTGGAGTCTAGTCCTCCCTGTGGCCTCAGTGTGGACAAGTACTTTTCTCATCTGTAACATGGGAATGTTGTATCTGTTTCACTGCCTTGAAAACTTGTCCTGAAGGATGAAAAGAGGTGTCCTGTGTAGTACAGGAAACCTTAAAGATTTGAACAGACATGAGGTGTTTCTAATCTGCTCTTGATAGCTGAATGCTAGTGGTTGCTTGGGCGCTCAATTTATTAGGTTAGCCATGTTTTCCATACAGAGCTGATACCCACACTTTTAGAACTTCAAACTTTGGTTCCTACACCTACCAGTTTTTGCTTTTTCATTGCCAGTATCTAATCAGTCACTAAAGACTGATGATTCTCTTTTCCCATTTCCTCCCTCCATTTTCATTCTAGATCTAGTGCTCAAATTACAACTGTCTCCCTTACATCCACTGTAGGTGTCTATAGAGCACTTAGAGGTTCCCTGTGTCCTTCACCATGAAGTTCAGCTCTTTAACCCAGCGCTCCCTGTGGATGGAGCCTACAGAAATATGCTTTTACCCCCATCACCACCTCATGTGGGCTAGTCTTAAGTTCATTCTCTATTTCTGTCTTTAGTCTTACTGAAATGTTTGTCCAGTATTCTTTCCCTCCTCTATTCTCTTTATCTTTTACTATTCCAAAGCCTCATCCCCTCTCTAAAGACTTCTTCAGGACCCCAGGCCACATCAATCCCCCCTTCTTTATAATACTGGCATCTAGAAACTGTTGTGATTATAATAAACATCTTCCACTGTTAATGATCCTTACTGTCTTAGAAATCTCTGTCATTTGCAACTGACTAGAATTTTCTGGCTAATATTTCTAAATTTTTATCACCACAAACGGAGTATATAGCTCAAGGTGAAGTTAAAATATGATTTATAATATACTATGCCTTGCAGTAGAAAAACACATCTACTTATCCACAGTAAGGATACCTAGACCTGAATTATATTTCCTGGGACCAAAAATGATACTTTAAAATTTTGAGTAGCAAATCCAAGAATGAGAGTTGCTTGTTTACATTTCCAGCTCTATTTGCTTTAGGTAAACATGCTTTTTTGTCCATTAATATAACAGCCAGATGACAGAAGAAAGTCATAGTCTTTTAGTTGATTTATAATGATTTTTCTCTGTATATGAGAGAACGCTGGTATGTTCTGTAAATTATTTGATGTAAAACAAGACAATAATGTCTGAATCTATTTGAATACACTCTGAATATCTGAATTTTAAAAGTTTTAAGTGTAAGGAGGTGGGTCAGCTTTAGTCAGGGTGGAATCAAATGAGGATTTACCTTTGAACTTTACTCACCTGCTTCCATTTTACATATAAATCCTTTTTTGTCTTGACACGAGGATAACTGCCACACTCCTTCAGGAATCCTCAGGGCAACACACAGATGGTGTTTGAAGTGGTCCACCTCTGGCTTCCGAATACCCCAGTTTGATTGATCTGTGGGAGTTCCATCAAACCACTTTATGGTTTCATCTGTGGAAAAAAAACACTAACTTATTATGAATTATGTGCATGGTTATCAAACATACTAAGTGTTGAATAAACCATAGAAAGCAGCCCCTAAATTTAATGAGTCTCTCCTTATCTGATGCATTCATTTCAGTAGGTGCAATCATGAACTCATCATCAAGAGGTAGGTGTTAGTAAAGCTGCCTTATAAACAAATCTCTTTATGGTAGATATGAGGTTCTAATTTAGTTCATTTGAGATATCATGTTTCTTAATATAACAGTTTGAATTTTAAAAGTTCTTTATAATTTATTGGTAAATTATAACCAATTTAAAGAAATCATTTGAAGTCCTAACATCTATATCATTACAAAAGAGCTCACTTTTTAAAAGAATTTTACAGTGAGCTTCTTTAAAAAAGCAAGCCAGTGGTGTACCAAAGGGTGAAGATGGTGGTAGAATCCATCTGTGTGTAAGTGATAAGGAGGTGCCTTGTATGAAAAGGATTTAAAACAAGCAGTAAAACTAAGCATACATCTGTCAGATTTTTTATTATCACCCTGTGCTAGAAGTTTTAAGCAGTATCTGTGACTGAAATACTTTTCCTTGTCAGTGTGGACCCATCCTCCACCTTGATATACCCCTGTGACAAGTTCTCCATTCCAGTGTAATTTTCTTTACAAGTACTTCCTTTGTTTAATTTATTTATTTTTAATTGGAGGATAATTGCTTTACAATGTTGTATTGGTTTCTGTCATATATCAACATGAATCAGCCACAGGTATACATACGTCCCCTTTCTTCTGATACAACTACTTTCAATAACCATCAATAACATAAGGAAAAAAACATCATACTCTCATCTAATTACAAACTCTGGCTTTTATGAGTAGCAAATAACAATTCTATTAGCACTATTTATCACTGGGACGTTTCCATAACTCTATTGCACTCTTATATGACATTTGGGAACCCAGGATATTTTAAAGTAAATATGGCTTTGATGTCTTATGACTAAGTCTGTGAACACAAAGTTCCAGTCAAATATCTTCATAATGTGAGATTAAATATAAAATAAACTTGTTGTTTGTTTTCATTTTTGGTTTTCTGGGATTATTTCAAAGAACAAGAGGGTATAAAAAAGGGTTAGCAACGTTGTCTTTGGAAGAAATGGCTTTAGGATTTATGATATTTTTTCACAGCAAATGTACCAAAAGAGAGCCTTCTGGTTTGCAGATGTCATTTGCATCAACCTTGACCACTGTGTATTTATTTATGCCCTCTCCTCCTTTCTACCCAAATTACTTACGGTCACCATCAAACTGAGCATTCAGCCAAATCATCTGGACTGAAGAACGGAAAGCTGAAAGCTCTTCTAGGAGAAAAGAGTTTTCAGCTCCATCTTTGATTGTTAAAAGATTAGAGCCTATAAAAGAGAAAAAGAGCAAATGAATAAGTATTTGTGTATATATATAAATATAATTAAAATAATAATTCATAAAGCTCAGGCTTTGAAACATAAATCAATAAGTTAGAGCGCTCCCTCACACACCATACACAAAAGTAAACTCAAAATGTTTTAAAGACTTGCAGGTAAGACGTAACACCACTAAACTCCTAGAGGAGAGCATAGGCAAATTATTTTTTGACATAAATCATAGCAGTATTTTCTTAGGTCAGACTCCTAAAGCAAAAGAGATAAAAGCACTGTATACCATAAACTAACACATTGTTCTATACTATAATGTTAATAACACATTAACTATACTTCAATTTAAAAAAAGCTCAGGCTTTGAAAAGTGAAAATTTCTATGGTAAACAAGTAATTTTTGATTAAAATTTTAAAGGTAATATGACACATTAAAAGATGCAAACTGGTACTTAAAGCATAGAATGTTTATTTGGGAGAACAGTTAAGATTCATATTCAAATACATTCAAAGGGAACACTTTCTTGGAAATTTGCAGTATCCTGAGACATCACCTTAGGTTTTTCATTGTATTCTGGACATTGAAAATATTAGTTGTAAATTCAATAATATTTACTTTTTCAATTTTTTCCCCACCTTGTCACACCACCGATTGAAGCAAAACAACACAACATGCTTCCACTTCACCCCAAAGCAGTGTTTTCACTCTGCCCTTTCTTGACAGCTCAGCGGGTCATTAGCAAAAGGCCCACTGAGTGCTTTTAAAAGAGGGTACTTTTTCAATTATTTTTGTTTTGCTCCTAAAGTCACTGAATTATCAGACAAATGAAGAAAACAACATTGTTTACTGAAATGTCAAGAAGGAACACATTGAAAGCATTTTACTACCACAAAAGAATTACCTTTCTTTTTGCAAAATTCATGAGCAGCCTCAAAACTTGTGCTGTCTAGGACTGTAGAAAAACTGTAGCAATTACTTTTGAATTTTATCCAGGGAATTGATGTTTCTGAGCACAACTCTTGGTGTCCAGACAGTCTTGTTTCTATGAACAAAATCAGTTATGATTTCAGGGTGGTAACTGGGTTCATTTATTGAGATTAACATTGTATTACACTCTACGAAAGACTAAGATAAATATATGTAATGAGATTTTTATGATAATACTCTGAAAGAGTGGGTTTAATGCAAATGATCACAAAACTGAAATGGCTTATAGCATGTCTGGCAGAAATAATCTTTACCTATACATAACAGGGTATATTAATGCATAGCTTCATAGGCTTAGTTTGGGTGCTATCTTTCATATTTACAATTAGTATTGGAAAAAAGATTAGGAAAACCAGGGAATGAGATTCATAGAAATACTAGCAGCTGAATGAAGTTGACAAAAGGCACTTCAAACAAACAAAATGTGTTCCATTCAGTGGTGAAGATAGAGTAAATCCTTACTTGCTAGTTAACTTATGAGAGAAAATAAATCATTCAGTAAAGTATCATAACATAGCACAGCATAACACATCACAATATAACATAACATCATAACAAAATAACATGTCATATCATAACATATCATGATATAACATGACATAACATAACATCACATATAACTAAGTGGAATTTGGGATGGACTTTGCTTCAGAAGGCAAGCATGCGAGTCAGACACATCCACTCTGAGATCCTAGGTGTGTGGCTGTGGGTATGTTATTATCTTCCCCACACTCCCACACATAAAAGAGAATTGACAATAACATCTTTCTTACAACTTAAGAAGTTTAGGTGAGCTAGTGTCTAACAACTTAAGCACTCAATAAATGCAGTGTTATTGAGAAAAGAAGGATAATTTTACAGTGCTTTAGAAGGAGAATTGGCTTTCCCAATATATGACTATCATTTACATTTTTGTCCTGAATTGTTTTGATCTGAAGTTATGTAATATGTGTGCTATTTGACTTACCGTATTCAGGGTGTAAGTAAATACATGCACACTTACTAAATGAGAGATTTAAAAAGAAACCAGTTAGTGTTAAGGAACTTTCTTTTTATATACCAAAGTAATAAAAAGAAAAGGGCCCTGATTTAATGGGATAGATATGACATCAGAGATCAAGGAAACTTGGCTTCTACTCCAAGAAGTAGTTGTTAGACATCTATGAGATCTTCAGGAAACTATTTAATGCTCTGAGTTTAAGTTTAATTTTTAAAGTTCGCCTGGTTGGACAAGGTGAGCTTTAAGTGTAATGAGATTTATTGTCATTATTACCATGTTTTATATATGCATATAAGTGTAAATATTATTACTATGATGATGGTGGTTCTAGCATCTTATTAGTCTTGGACTTAAACAGATCCTCAGTATTCAAGATCCTCCAGGTATTCAAGATCCTCCACACCTGCTCCTAATCTATGGTTCTAGCTTGATTCCCTACTTCTCTCACCATAAACCTGCCATGCAGGAAAATCCCAACACCAGCTTTCCTTATACATGTCCAATCCTTTCTTTCTTCCTTGTGTGCCCAAGCCTTTCTGCTCAGAGTGCCTGTCCATGTCCCAGAGTTTCCTGATTCCACCCACTCATCAAGACCAATCTCCACAGTCCTGTCCTTCAAGAAACCTTTTTACTTTTTCCCAAGTGGATCTAATTGTGTCCACTTTCTTGCTAACCCCTACAACGCTTGCTATGGTTCTTGTATCATTTGGTAGCCCTGCCTCCTGTAACGGTTATTTGTCTGTATATCACCTACCAGACCAAATCCTTCTTGAAGGCAGATAATTCTTTCTACTTTCTCTCAAAGCTCCTGCTTAGCATGGTGCCTTGCATAGTACGGGTTCACAGCACATCTTTCTTGAGTTGAACCTACCAGTGGGCACTTGACAAATGGCTCCTTGCAGATACGACTCGCAGGCTGTGCTCCTCCAGCGTCCACTGGTGTCAGCAAAAACACAGTCACCAAGGAAGGATGCTTCATCGTCTTTCCAAAAAGCGAAGGAGGATTTGGTGCCATCTGACCAGTCAAAACTAAGACCGCTCTGTGGAGAGAAATTGAACCATCATTTCCTTGCTGTGAATGCTGGTGGCATCGGCCCATGCTGTCTGAACAGCCCTCAGTGCACACATGGATTTTTATTTTCACTTCTAGACTTATATTTTAGGAAGTCTAGGACAGCTTGTGAGTATGGCCTGACAAAAAGGACTCTCTGACACAAGCAGTGTCTTTTTTAGTTTTTGGGAATCCTTGGTTCCTGTCTGTCAAATTTCCCAGTAAGCAATCAGAGTGAAGCTGCTCTATATCTTGTTCTTTATTGTTGTTGTTTAGTCGCTAAGTTATGTCCAACTCTTTTGTGACCCCATGGACTGTAGCCCACCAGGCTCCTCTGTCCGTAAGATTTCCCAGGCAAGAATACTGAAGTGGGTTGCCATTTCCTTCTTCAGGGGATCTTCCCAACCCAGGGATCAAACACACATCTCTTGACCTGGCAGGTGAATTCTTTAACACTGAGGCACCAGGGGAGCCCATCTCGTCTTTACACCAAAATAAATTTAAGATTGAGCCACAGGTTCAGTCCCTGGGTCAGGAAGATCCCCTGGAGAAGGAAATGACAACCCACTCCGGTATTCTTATATGGGAAATCCCATGGACAGAGGAGCTTGGTGGGCCATAGTCCATTGGGTTGCGAAAGAGTCAGATATGACTTAGCAACTAAACAACAACAGCAACAAAGGTTCATACATGTAGTTGAAAACATAACAGTGCCAAAGAAAACTTGGCTAAATAGTTTATGCTCTTAACATGGGAAAAATCTTTCCATGTCTGATAAAAAATCCAGAGACCATAAAGCAAAATTGCCTACAGAAAGTTAAAACAGTCTGTAATACAAAAATACAATAAGGAAAACAACAACAACAACAATAAATACAACAAACAGCCATGAAATACCATCCTTTCACCTATCCTACTGGCAAGGATTAAAATTTTGACGTACCCAGTGTTGACAAGGATGTGAAAAAACTAGATGTTATCATATACTGTTGTTAGCATGTAAATGGTCGCAAACTTTTGGAGGGCAATTTGGCACCATTGCTTGTCAAAATTTAAAGTGTACTTAGCAACTTCACTTCTGGGGATTTATCCTACTTGTACAAGGATATTTGTTGTGCCTTGTTTGGAACTGTGAGAACTGGGAAGAACCCAAAAGTCCATTCACAGGAGTATGGTTCAATACATTGTGGCATATCAGTATATGCTGTTGTCTCAAAGACTGTATTAGACTTTTATGAGCTGACACAGAAAGCTGTACAACTTATATTAATAAAAAGGCAAGGTTAAGGACAGTATATATATAGTATGAGCTCACTTATATTTAAAAAAGTATACCTTTTAATCCATTACATGTGTGTGTGTGTGTGTGTGTGTGTGTGTATATATATATACACATACACAGAAAATTTGTAAATGGCACACAAGAAACTGTTTACAGTGATTGACTTTGAGAAGTGGAACCTAGAGGTCAGGATTGAATAGGTTTACTTTTCATTATTTGAGTAACCACTTTCATTAAAAAAATGTTATTTTCCAAATCATATCACTAGAGGCAAAAAATAACATACATGTTAAATTACACGGAGTACTGAATTAACTAATGGCCAAGTTTCTAGGCAGGAGGTATGATTCATTTTTCTTGGGGATTCTTTAAATGCAGCAAATTACCCGAATTCAGGTGTCTGAGTTCAGGATGTATTCTAGTGCACATATGAGGCAGTATCCTGAAATTTCTCAGACATCTTCAGAGAATCTTTGAAGGGTATTAATTTCCAGAAATTAGGCAAGTAGTTATTTACTCTAAAAAGGGACACCTTTATTTTGTAGTCATATGCTGCTCATAAGGTTGGTCAATAGTTATTGTATGCTCATAGTATTAGCTGCTCAGTCATGTCTGACACTTTGTGACCCCATGGACTGTAGCCCGCCAGGCTCCTCTATCCATGGAATTCTCCAGGCAAAAAATAATGGAATGGGTTGCCATTTACTTCTCCATTGTTCACAGGGTTGGTCAATAGTTATTGTATAATCCAGTTACTTAAATGTTACATTTACTGTTATTTCGTGACTCTGTTTCTGTGGTAATGTCAGTGGCTATCTCACTAAGGAGGTAGATGTGAAACTTAATTATGCAAGAATCGTACAAGGGATTTTAGGAAACCTACATCTTCAGTGAACAGTCCAATCCAGTGGGCATATCCTACGCGGTTAAGGATAACAGTGAGGAAAGACTGGTGGTACTGGTCTGTAATGCTGGCCAGTTCTGCTCCATGCATCAGGCAGGTTTTTAGTGCTGTATACCAAGTCATATTTGCATTAATTATTTTGTAAGTTCTGTTTCCATATTCTAAGGTATTAGGGATTGGATACATATCAGATGTATTTATACTGTGTCCAGAAGCATCTAGAACAAGAACAGAAACAAAAATTATTTATAGCATCTGGATGAGAAAGGGGGAGGCAAAGCTTGGCATGGATCCCAGTACAATGATCTATACTATTGTTAACATCAGAGTTTTTCTTCCCAGAACTGACTATTTCAAAATGAAGACAGTATCTGTAAGTATAGGTGACGCTAAAGGACAAGAACACTTAGAAAATGTAATGAGTTTTTAAACATATATAAACATATACTGAATAATCTCTAGATTTCCTGTTTTTGATAATCCCTTGTCAAACTGACCACTTTTTGGTGAAACTGATGGTGACCTCGTTAGGCAGGTTTAATTCTAGTAGGTACACTCAGCCTTGTATTAAGTTCTGTTGCTGGCAGAACTTAATATTTACTAAGAGAATACTAACAAATATAACGTAGTCAAATATTCCTTTGCAGACATAATTTACAAATGCATATTCTCAAATATAACACTATTAAACTTTTGAGACTGATAGTTTCTATCCTATTTAATATTAATGTAATTTCTAAAGAGAAGTTAAAAATAAGTTAATAAATGCTTAGAAATACATTACAGTTCTTATAAACCATTATTATTAACATGTCACCCCCTGTCAGAGTCAAGATTTATAAATGAAAAGACTAGGTTTTCCCACACATGATAATTGGCTCTTCGTGTTCATGAGTGGCTGTGATCAAGTGAAAACCAAGCTTGTGTGTTATACAAAGATGTTTCCTCTTTGATACACACATTTGCCATTTTGTTCTGTACTATATTCAGGCTAAATTTAGGAATTCAAGAACACAAAGACAGGGTATTTCTGAACTGTCTGACCTAAAGTAGCTGGGATTTCTCTCTGTATACTGGTTTTATCACATTTGGGGTGAAAAGGAGCATGGGGAGATATAGACAGACCCAAAGACCTGGGACTCAATTGCAGACCTGACCCTAAATGACTTAGAGACCTCGGCCAAAGTAGTCAGTCTCGCTAAACTTCAAATTTCTGGTCTGTGAGAGATTACTAAAGCCTTTGCTAGAGGTATGAGGGTAAAATTCAAGGAGATGTTTATGTAGGGCACTTACTACAGGATGTGAAATTCAGCAGGCAGTCAATAAATGCTACTTCTTGCTTTCCTCTCCTGTTCGTGTCATACTCTCCCAAATAAAAATGGCAGAGTGGGGATTTGACTTTTCCTGACACTGTTACCTCGATGTAGCAGTAACACATATTGTAAAACCATTGTAAAACCAAAGTGAAACAAATCTATTCACCAACTAAAATTTTATTTACCAACTAAATTTTGATGGACCACACTTTCATCATCAGTTTTTATTTGTAGAAGTCTGTTTACCAGCTGATATTACCAAGTCTAAATGTTATTTATACAAAACCAATATAACACTAAAGTAGCTGTTTAATAAGTTATTAAAACTAAAGTAACTGAAATTCTTTGTATGTGTGACTTAAATGCCAATTTACTTGACTCCCCACTAAGTCATGCACCTGTATTTTCACATATATGAATTTCTCGCTATGTTATTGATTTCATCATTTCAAAACATAAGTGATTTTGAACATTACAATTGGCCATCTGCTTCCCTGAGAAATATAGGTCCACTGGAAACCAAATTCAAAATTGGGGGTCATGATTTAGCCCTTGTCTCTCTTTTCATTTAGGTATCTTTATTCTTTTGGGCAAATTAAACTCCTTAGGTTCTAAACCCAAGGCAAACACATATTCATATGACAAATAAAGAAGAGGAGCCAGAATTTGGATAGCCAGAATTTGTAGACCACAAGAACTTAATGTAGTTGAGTAGTAATATAATAAAAACAGTAATAAGGAAAACAATAACTGTTTGTTAAACATGTGCTGGGAACTTGCTAAACATTGTATATATGTAAAGTCCATGAGATAATTATTATTCCATTTTACAGATGCAGAAATCAAGATTCAGAGAAGATGAGAAACTTTACTGACAGTTTATTTACAGAGATGCGGTATTTGAACTCCACCACCACTGCCTCCAAAAAATCATATATATTCTTAGTTCTAGAAATATCAAAGAGAGAAAGTGGTTCAGAGAGTACTGAAAAGATCAACATTATTGTTAAATACAATGATTCTATTCCTACAATAAATATAACAATTCTATTCTTAGGATAGGAGAGAATCATTGTAGTTAACCAAGAGACCTTGAATATGTTGCTTATTTTTCCTAAGCCTCAAGGTCCTCATCTGTAAAATGGGGAGGCTTTTACCTACTTCATAGAATTGTTGAGAGGATTTTATGGCATAATACTTATAAAACGAAGGCACAGTTCCAGGTGCATCATAAGTGTGCAAGTAATGATATACTGATATTTTTTTCCTACAAGGCTCTGCTCTTCTCATAATACTCTTCCTATAACTGATCTGATAGCTTCTTTCAGTTTCTAACCACTATTATACTTAGGTGATAACTGTGAACTAGGAAATAGGGTTTTCCTGAAACTGCTTTTATGAGGATGGTTGATACTTAGTAGCATCAAAGAGTTCGCGTGTATGTAACACTGAGAGGTATAATTCATATTCCAAGTAAGCATGTATATCCTCGCGTGTATGTAACACTGAGAGGTATAATTCATATTCCAAGTAAACATGTATATTCTTGCGTGTGTGTAACACTGAGAGGTATAATTCATATTCCAAGTAAGCATGTATATCCTCAGCTACCTAGAATTCCACTCAGCTCTAGACACAGACAATGGCCTTCTAGGGAAGCCTGGGACTGGGTAAAAGCATGAGAGGTGAGCTCTTGTTAATTGTTATTTTTATTACTCAAGGTCACTTAGAGTGCATCTACACTGTTCCCTGTCCCTACTGGCTACTTACAGCACTATAGCTCTGGTATTTCATAGTCACTAGGGGTTCTGATAATCAGATCTAGAAAAGTGCTGTATGCCATCTTTAGCCACAGATACCATTTTTAGGGTTCTTAAAAAGGAATTAAGGATTGAGTTGGCTTATTTCCTTGACTCTTTTCCAATAATTTTTCAATGTCTTTTTAATAATCTGAACAGACACATAATCCTACAGCAAGCAGTAAAACCTTTTAAAATGACCAGAATAAATACATAAACTTGGTCATCACTCAAGTGGTCTCTGGAGTCCTTAGAACCCCACTAGCAGGCACAACCCTGAGGTAGTAGAGATTAAGTGACCATATGTGTGTAAAGCTCAAAGAATAAGTGCTGGCACTATTAGCTATGAAACTATCATTTATATAGTGTGTAAACAAATGTGGAAGAGAAGAATGGGTCATGGAAATGAAAGGAATAAAAAAGCAAATATTTCTTACCCTGCATTTTTTCACAAACAAACCCATAACCTTCTCTACAGTCTTCAAAATACCATTTTCCAGTGAAATGAAAATTAGGATTATTTGACAGCAAGCCACAGAGAGGAATGCGTTTTTGAACTTCAGTGGTGTTGTGATTTGGAATCTTCAAAAAAAATACATGTTTAAAAAAATGGTAACATATAACATTATTATAACATTAACATTTTTATTAAGAACATAATTTTAAAAATTCAAACACTGTTATTCCTTTATTTGCATTTAATAAATCTGTTCACAAATCACTTTATAACCCACAAAATAAATAATTATTGTGATGAGTAATTACATCTATGAAATGCATGAAAATTATATGAAATTACATTATTAAAAATTAATACATTAACAACAAACTAATAAAAATAAAACTTCAGTAAACAAGTCTCAAATAGGATCTCTTGCTAAAATGACTGATAAAAAATAAATCTTAAAACTTACATTTACTGTATCAAATGGAGACCAATTAGAATATGACACAGGCCTTCCATTTAGCCATTTTTCATAATCATCATTTTGTAACCCTATCCACACATTAGTGGTATGGCCGAAAAGGTTCATGGTAATGAAAGCTGAAAAATAAGAATACATTAGCAAATTTAATACATATAAACCATTTGGATAATCATCAGATTCTGTTTATAGCTATGATTTTATTTAAATGACAGCAAAACTTAATTACTAATCAATTGTAGGAATTCATTACTTTGTCCTTATTAAGGTAATACAGTCTCTTTCATTTTTGTTCAGCTTAAATTGACAGAAATTAGCTGGCTAAACCTGGAATTTCATCATATCATTAGCAAAACAATTTTCAACGTTCATTCAATGTCTTCCTAAGCAAAGGAGTGTTAATCGCTTATGCTTAAACTAAAGTACACAATTATTGCCTAAATAGCAAATAAAAGTATGTAGGGATCTAAAAGGATCTAAAAAATTATACCATGCAATTATAATAGACTTTACCTCAGATTATTTTAGCTATTTTGAAATACTGATCATAAGTATGTCTTTATTCTTTCCATTACTCCTGGTGAGACAAAAGGCTCTGAAAAATCAGCAGTTTCTAAGCAGTGGAGTGTACTAACTTTTACAGATATCATGATATAAACCTTATAGGTCACACTGAAAAGTTAGTGTCACCAGCAACATAATACTTAAATGTTGCTTGGAAAGGTTAGTATTTCAGAGAAATATTTTAATAGACACTTCAGTAAATATTGAACATTGAGTATGCTACCTTGTTCCACCTCATTTTCAATGGCGACCAGTGTCCCCCCTTCTTCAGCACAAAACTCTTGAGCAGATGTCCAGTTCTTCCAGTCACTTGGGCCTTCAGGGATTTTCAGCAAAAGGCACTATAAAAATATCCCCCAAAAACATTCATTTCCATATTTTTCTAAGTGAATTAAAAGTTTCCTAAACACACCAAGGATCAGCTTTGAAAATTTTTTATGACAGAAGCGACTCTTTTTTTCTTTTTTCCAGCTACTCCAAAGGTGTGAAAGCAAAACCAGGAGGACTAGCTTTCAGGGTGAGTCAGGCCTTTTGTGCATTTGCATCAGGCAGCCTCAGAGGCAGCAATGTTTTGTCACTCAGGATGTCAGAACAATGTCTTCTGCTCAGTGAAAAAATAGCATTCCTTCTAAAAAGAAGCCAGCCTCACTGCAGAGTTTACAGGGGAGGATTTCATCTAAAAAACATTTCTTTTGGTGGCAGTTAATATGTTCATTTGATTTTATTTACAAATACACTCTCTCACTTTTAAGTGAGAGAGGAATCCTGGGGACTCAGACCACATCAGGTATTTAAAGTCCCTAAATACTTGGAGTCAGCCATGTGGTCCAATAGTCAGTGAGGAAGAGCGGGAAAAGAAAAGAATGAGCCAAAGGGAAAAGAAGCAAGAGCAGGACCAAGGAAGCCTAGGAAGGAGAAACACGGGCACAACAGTGTCAAGTGGAGCTGTAAAAGAAGGCTGTGGGGTTTGGCAGTGAGAGCTGACTGTTACTCAGGAGAGAATCGCGTCTGTGGCATGGCAGGGGTCACTCATTATGGAACAAGAGGTATGGAATGCTAAACTGCTGGGCAGAGTAGGCAAGATGAAGAAAAGCACCCCTCACTAAGCTCCGTGACGTTTAACCGTGTTAGTCAGGCTATCTGGAATCGGAAGAGAGGAGACAGAAAGATAGAAGAGAAAGCCTGAGGCAAAGTTCCAGAGAAGTCAGGAAAGACTTTCTGCAAAAATATTCCGTGTAGATTATTCTCTCATCAACGAACATAGCCATCCCTGGTCAATGACGAGTCTGAGCATGAGATGTGCTACTGAGAAAATCGCAGCTACAAGATTATTCTAGGTTAATGTGGCACCCTGCACTTGAGAGAGCATCCCACCCCATCCTTCTTCTTTAACATCTAAATGTATCAGTCCCTCACCCTTTCCCTACCATCATAAACTCTTTAAAAAGCAGAGACTAAATGTTGCTCCTCTTTGAATATTACAACTAAGAAGGTCTTCAATAAATATTTATGGAACAAGATAAAAGCCAATAGACCCTGAAATGATTGTGAAGTGACATTCTGAGGATTCTAGATTTAGTCCAGTGGTTCTCAAACAAGACCATTTTGTTCCTCAGATTATATTTTGATAATGTCTGGAAACATTCTGGTTTTCACGGTTCAGACAGGGTTGGGGTTGGGGGGCAGCGTTGCTACTGACATCTAGTATGGAGTAGAGACCAGGGATGCTGCAATACATTCCATAAAGCACTGGTCAGTGTCCTACATCAAGGGATTAATTATCCAGACCCTACTGTCAATACTGCTCAGGTAATTCTTTTCAGGACTCAGTTCTGAACGTGTCGCCCTTTAAACCTTTCAGGGATTTTCCACTGTTCTTAGGACAAAAACCAGAAACCCTTATCTAGCATGAAGTTGAGTTGCCAACCAAGACAGGAAGTACATTTTCACTTTTTCCAATCCTCTTTACCTGTTTGCTTCACAAAGAAATGGAACTGGCTTTAAAGGATTTTAATTTTATAACAACTATCCTTTTATCTGTTTCCTTTCATTCTGCCTCTTTCCTCTAATTATGAATTCCAAAGAGTGGCACATACTAATTATTAGGAAGTCTTATCATTTAATGCAAATTCACCTTGTGTTCAGATAGTCACACTAATGAACCATTCATACATACCAGTGAATCTCACTGGTTCATTTAGCTCAATAAATCTCTCCAGAAAACACACACACATAACCCTCCCTCTTCCCACCCAGCCTCACCAACTGCCCTGTTTGCCTCAGACAACTGAGGCTTGACTAGCTTGACTATGGGAGTGTAGCCTCCCATTACCACAGCTTCATTGTATCTAAAAATATAACATGTTTACTAACACACTTGAAATTGTGTCATTAATAATTAAAGCAAAGTACAAGATGAAGTACAACACCCTTAATTTTAAATTGTTTATTTACTTACTGCTTTGCAAAATGTGATCAAGTTTAATGCGTCTCTGATTATTGCTGTGAAGTAAGGATACCTTACTGCATTCTAAACAAGTTTTGCATGTAAAACTCTTTTTTTTGGTCTCCAAGTCATTTCCAGTTCAAAATGTGGAAATGGAATTCATGATCTTTCTCCCCAATTCGGTCCTTTTTCAGTGTTCTTACTGATGTTAATAGCATAGTCAGTTATGCGTTTACGGAAGTCTGAAACCTGAGGTCTTCTGACTCTTCAGTAACCTCCATCACCCCTTCAGTGCTACCCTCTGGACATCCCATTTCTGAGTCCTTCACCATCATCCCCAGTGCCCTACCGTGATCTTAGCCGCGGGGACTTACCTCTTGTCTGGACTGTTGCAATATGCTCCTAGCGGCTCTTCCTTTCCTCACCCCTGCCTTTCTTGGGTCTAGTTTTGGTTCTGCAGCCTGAACGCGCGTGTGCTCAGTCACTCAGCCTCGTCAGATGCTTTGGGCACTGCAGACTGAATGACTCTTTTCCCTGATCATGTCCCTCTCTGGTTAAAACGCTTTGGGGTCTCCCACTGCTCTTAGGATAAAACCAGGAACTCGAACACATTATCACCCTTGCCTACTTCTTTTGTCTCACTTTCTACATTCCAGTTCTCTACGCTTCTTTTATTTTCTTCAATATATTACATTCCTTCTCACCACAGGTCTTTAGCACATGTTTCCCTTACTTTTGATGCTTCCTATCCTTCTGACTGCCTCAGTTAGGTCTTCCTGTTATATACTTTTATGGAACTGTCTAAATCTCCATCACTTATGCCAAAGTTGTAAATTAGAGTTATTTTCCTGGTTGATTTACTAATGTTTTGTCCCCTCTCTCCTATAAGCTGTAAAAGAGAAGGGACTGTATTTGTTTTCCCTCACCACTGAGTTGCATATATGCAACACAGTTAAATGGAATGAATGAAAAAAGTGCTAAGAATTTGAATAATTTAAAAGAGGAGAGCATTTTCTTTAAAGGAAGAACTATGCTATGCATGAAATGAAACACTGGCTAATCTAAAACTAGATGGTCTTGAATATTCATTGGAAGGACTGATGCTGAAACTGAAACTCCAATACTTTAAACCAACTCATTGGAAAAGACCTTGATGTTGTGAAAGATTGAAGGAGGGAGAAGAAGGGGATGACAGAGGATGAGATGGTTGGATGGCATCACCGACTCGATGGACATGAGTTTGAGTTAGCTCTGGGAGTTGGTGATGGACAGGGAGGCCTGGCGTGCTGCAGTCCGTGGGGTCGCTGAGTTGGACACGACTGAGCGACTGAACTGAACTGAACTGAACTGAGATGGTACAAAGCAGCCATCACCACTAAATCCAGGTCCTTGAAGAAAACATATAAGTAGAAGCACAATAGTAATCTGATACACACATACACAGCTTTATACACAGCTTTGCTGTGCCAAATTTCTTACATGACTCACTCTTCCTGGCATAATCCCTGGTCAAGCCTCTTTTACATCATCAAACATGAAGAAAATAATGTATAAGACATGAGAAAAGCCACAATTTCTGCTATCTCAGTTTTGAAACTCTTAATAGTAAATAGTCAACCAGGTAGGATTTTTTTTTTCCTTAGAAATAATCAGTAAGAATTAGTCCTAGGAACTGACAAGCAAGAAGCAAAGTTTAGTAAAACATATTGATGTTTATTTAGAACTCTGAAGTGAGTAATGTCTGTCATTGCTGTCTCCCAATTTTCCTTCTGTAGCTTTTTTTGTTAGTCAGAACTATCCCCACTGGGCTTTCCACTCCTCTCAACCATTAATTCTCCTATTTCCAGCTTTTCTAATGATCTTATAAACTCACTTATTCTAAAGTAGAGGTGACAGATGAGGCAACTTCAGAAAGAGTTCCCATAAAAAACGTACAGGAAAGTGTTGAGGCAAAGGAATGAGACTCTAGCGGTGGGATTTTAGCCATTAACATGCAGGGGAGGGCACTGTGGGTGGGAAGGCACACCTGGGGCCCTGAAATCTCGTTCTGTAACGGGTCACTTCTCATGAAGCCTGCTGTGACCATATCCTTAGTAATCAAATCCTCTGAATGGTTCCAAGACTCAATTGTACAACTGCTGCATTGCTGGGCAAGTTTGACTGCACATTAGAATAACCAAGGGAGCTTTTAAAAAATGCTAATGCCTGGATCCATGCAGATCAATTAAATCAGAATCTTTAGGATGTCACCTGCACCTTGATATTTTTAGAAAGCTTACCCGGTGATTCTAAGTATTTAAACAGAGCAAAACCACTAATCTAGCTATTAGTTATCAATAAAGATTAAAAACAGCCCCTGAGCTGCGCAGGGGTGTGTTAATCCTGCTCCATAGTTAGCCTCAGAAAGCCCTTCTTCCCTCATGATTGCGTTCGTGCTTAACTCATGCACCTTCCTACTCTTTCAAAGGAAGCATTCAGTTCCTCTTTTTGCCCTAGGTCTGCGGCACCATTACTGTACCTTGCCTGAGTGTGTATATATTCCTCATGTTTACACTCAAGGAAACATGGAATAGAGCTAATCTGTGTAGATAAGAGAGTTTAGGAAAAGGACAATGGCCAAAAACTACTATTGTAAGCTTCTAAGACTTATTTCTGTAATACCAAGTATATGACTTGTTATGATTTGCCTTAAAATATTCTTTATTTATACATGGGAGGAATTATGATTAGTAGCTAGAAGAGTTTTGCTCATGCTTTGGGACCGCCCACTCTCTGGATCAAAAATGTGACTTTGAGGCAAGGAAGGCATTCCTTTACGGTAGTTCCCTTCAGAGCACTCTATGATGTACTTGTTTTAATAGTTGTAAAAAAGTTTCAGGTATAAGAATTAACTAAAAATGGACTAAAACCTAAATATAAAAGCTAAAACTATAAAGCTTTTAGAAGAAAACATAAGTTAAAACTTGTGACCTTAGATTTGGCAACATATCCTTAGATATGACACCAACAGTGTGAGCAACAGAAGAAAAATTAGATAAACTGGACTTCATTAAAATTAAAAACTTGTATACATCAAAGGACATTATCAATAAAGTAAAAAGACAACCTAAAAATGAGAGAAAATATCTATAAAACATATATTGATAAATGTTTTATATCTAGATTATATAAAGACCTCCTACAACTCAATAACAAAAAGACAACCCAAATAAAAAGTGGGCAAAGGAGTTGAACAGACATTTTTCAAAGACAATATACAAATGGTCAATAAGCACATGAGAAGATGCCCAATATCATTAGTCATGAGGGAAATGCAAATCAAAATGACAATGATACAACACTAGACTAGTATTGTCAGTAATCAAAAACATGGGTAATAAGTATTTTCAAGGATGTGGAAATATTGCTAGCATACACTGTTGGCAGGATTATAAAATGGTTCAACCATTGTGAAAAACAGTTTGCTGGTTCTTCAAAAAGTTAAACACAGAATTAGCATATGATACAGCAATTCCACTCCTAGGTATATACCTCAAAGAAGTGAAAACAGGGACTCCAGTAGATCCTTGTGTATGCCAATGTTCATAGCAGATTTATTTATAATAGTTAAAAAGTAGAAATAACTGAAGTCCATCAACAGATGAATAGATAAACAAAATGTGGCATGGAATACTAAAGTCATAAAAGGAATGAAGTTCTAATGCATGCTATAACATGGGTGAACCTTGAAAGCATTATGCTAAGTTATATAAGTCTGCCAGAAAAAGTCTGCAAATGTTGTATGAGTTCATTTATCTGAATTATCTAGAATAGGCAAACTCATAGAGATGGAAAATAGATTAGACCTTACTTTGGGCTTCAGGGGACTTCCGTGGTGGCTCAGATGGTAAAGAATCTGCCTGCAATGTGAGAGACTCAGGTTTTATCCCTGGGTCAGGAAGATTGCCTGGAAAAGGGCATGGCAACCCACTCCAGTATTCTTGCCTGGAGAATTCCATAGACAGAGGAGCCTGGTGGGCTACAATCCATGGGGTCGCAAAGAGTTGGACACAACTGAGCGTCTAATGCTTTCTTTCACTTTATGGGCTGCAAGGGATACGGAATTGGGAGGTATTGCTTAGCCAGTTACAGAGTTTCTGTCTGGGAGGATGATAAGGTTTGGAAACAGAAGTAATGGCTGAACAACATTGTGGATGTAATTAATGCCATGAACTGTACACTTAAAAATGGCTTAAATAGCATATTTTATGTTATATATTTTACCAAAATAAAGTAACCTAAAAACTAATTGTCAAAGATTGTAGTAAAAAACTTAGTAATACTCAAGTCCTATTGAATACTTGGTATTTTGTCATATTGAAATGTATATGTAATTTACAACTGGTAGAAATATTTTATAGTTTGAAAAATAAGAAGCAGACTTAAAGTTTCAATTATTTTTTAAAGATATTTATTTATTCATATATTTGGCTGCACTGGGTCTTAGTTGCGGCATGTGGGATCTAGTTCCCTGACCAGGGATCAAACCCAGGCCCTCTGCATTGGGAATGTGGAGTCAGCCACTGGGCCATCAGGGAAGTCTCTCGACTATCAAAAGCAGTATATTTCAACATTTTAGAGAACAACTATGTTATTTTAGAAAATATTTCAGACTGCCACTGGACCGATTGTGTCACAGGACTAAGGTGATTTGGTACTTCTTAAGAACTTATATGAAGTGGCAGCTGTAGGAAGGAGACAATACTCAGCGTCAGAAAATCTGAGGTTGATTCTCAGCCCGAGACTTATTTGCTGTAAGTTTCAAAAAAAAAAAAACTACACAACGTTATAAGCCTCAGTCTTCTCATATGTAAGATGGTATCATTGTTCTGTGTATTTTAAAAATTCAATAAAACAAGATATACACACACACACACACACACATATGTATGTATATATGTAATTGCCAGCAGAAACAGCTACAAGGTGGGAGAAACTCAAATGTCCATTGATGGATAAGTGGAAAAACAAAATGTGTTCTGTACATACAATGGAATATTATTCAGTCTTCAAGAGGAAGGAAATTCTGACACTTGCTACAGTATGGGTGAGCCTGGAGAACACTGTTCTAAGTGAAATAAGCCGGTTACAAAAGGACAAGTACTATATGATTCCATTCATGTGTGGTATTTGAAGCTGTCAAATTAATAAAGACAAAGTGAAGTAGTGGTTGCCAGGGGCTGTGAAGAGGGAGAATGAGAGGCTGTTGTTTAGTGGGTTTAGAGTTTCAGTTTTACAAGAGCAAAAAAGGTCTGCAGAGTCATTGCACAGCAGTGTGCACATGGTGGTGGTTTAAGTAGCGAAGTCGTGTCTGACTCTTGCGGCCCCATGGACTGGAGCCCACCAGGCTTCTCTGTCCGTGGGATTTTCCAGGCAAGAACACTGGAGTGGATTGCCATTCCCTTCTCCAGGGGATCTCCCCGAACCCAGGAATCAAACCCAGGTCTTCTGCATTGCAGGCAGATTCTTTACCGACTGAGCTATGAGGGAAGCATGTACTTAACACTAAAAATGATTAAGATGGTAAATTCTATGTTATGTGAATTTGGCCACAATTAAAAATATCAGTCCCAAATATGTATGTGCTCAGTAAATATGTATTAAATACAAATGACCTCGTAACAATGAGAGGAAGATTGCAAGGGAGAGAATGCCCTGCTAATGTAGCTAAACATATAGACTGAAAATTGCCCATGCTGGAGGAGCAATTTCATATTAGTATATGAATTATGACACAGTTTGAGCTTTTTAATTATCAAAGAGTTAAACATTTATAATTTGAGATGCATTTTAATTACTTCCACCTAAGGCTTATAAAGTTATTTTATTTTAAAACAAGGAGTGGAGGGGAAGTTTCAGCCCTAATTGGAGACAGTATCAGAAATAATAAATTTGGCTTACAATATCCCCACTGGCCACTTAAAAAAATTTTTTTAAAAATTTGATTCTGGATGGAAGCACCAGCTTTATGAGGCTCAAGACAAAGTTGACTGAGCTACATTATTAGTTGGTCAATTCACAAGGCGTGTAGAGCTCTATGTGAGCTCCAGGCAGAAAGACACAAAAGAAGAAAACAGTCTGGGCCCTCTGGAGTTGACAGCTCATTTGGGAACATGGCCTACACACACACACACACACACACACACGTGTGCATGCACACACATCACACCTAAATGAAATAGTCATACAGCACAATGAATGACAATGTCAGTAGCAAAAACTGAGTATATAAATGAAGGGTGGTGTCAAAGCTGTTTTTGACAAAACCTTCTTGTTTCAAGAGATCTGTCCCTAAATAGAAAACTTCTCAAATCCCTTGAAAATTGAAAATTTTCAATTGAAAATTGTGACAAAAAATTCCAGGTCCAATGGACAACTCATGGTTTTTCAAAGCCAGGCCCACTTTCGATTACATTCTAAAATTAACATCTACAAAAGAAAAACAAAAGCAACTTTTTGAAAACAAGTTTACCTTATAGTCAAAATATAACCATCCTTTGGGACATGTTCCATGTTGTTTTGGAATATCTTTCTTTTTTTCTATGACCCAAATCTTTTTTCGCTTACAGATGCTAGGCATAGAAATTGAACACTCTTCACTAGCCCAGAGACCTGGAGGAGAAAATGGTTAGAAATGATAGGGAATAATGGTGACTCTGTAGGAATTCTGTAATGGTCAATTTTTTTTTTATGACTGCTTTGGTCTACCATACTTTTTTAAATCTGGAAATTGAACTATATTTAACTACTAACTATAGAGTTCTCTGTGACAAGAGCTAACTGGGCAAAATGCCAACTCAGTAATTCTAATTTAAGAATGTAGAAATTTTGCAAATACAAGAAAAATGCAAACAAATATTGGAAATGAAATCACAGCACTGTTGAAAGTTTTAAGAACATTTGACTTGTTTAACAAAGGATATTTTTGTAGAGTAATATTTTTGTTTCACTAAGAGTGCAAGCTTTAATCAGTTGTTGTCATGTGAGACTGGGGGCCTGCTATTTCCAGATCTCCTAATTTTTAATAAAAGCCAGAAAATATGAATTTTTGAAAGATTAAGATAAATAAGTATTCTTTGTTTTAAAGTATTCCACTTCAAGGTAAAAAGAGGAAAAATATTCTAGAATAATAGATGATCATTTCTACTTTAATTCTTAAAAATATAATAATTTTGAAAAAATTTTTAGAAAAAATAACTCAGGAACTTCCAAGGAAGAAGTACTTTTCAACACTGACCCTTGAACAAAACACACACTTTTAGAGACATGCCCTCAGGAAGATGTATCCCAAAGTCCTCAGCCTCTTAGAAAATAATTAGAAAATCTTTATTTTCAGAGTAAAGGTTATAGAATGTATTTCATTAGCATTCAAGTCATAAGTTCCAGAATAGGACAAGGATGCATGTAAACTGCAAGGGGAGATTCTGTTTTCTAGTGTGAGGGGTATGAGCCAAAAAGATATTGGCATTTTGAAGGAGGGGCTGGAATGCTATTTTCAATTCAGATTAGCTGCTATTCCTCCAGAATCACAAACAGCCTTTCTGTAGGCTGTTGTGACACCTGCTGGCAAAAGTGAGCTGATTAACAACATGGTTTTTCCTCTCCTTTCTCTGCAGCTGCCCTTAAGCCAGAGATCACTTTCCATATTTTTACTTCTCCTGATTTGGGAGGATCTGTTAGGAACATCATTACCTTTTACTGGATAGAAAGAGGAATGGATATGAGTGGACAATCAACCCCAATAACACTGCATTGATGCATAGAATTAAAAAACCCATCTTAGACATACATGTACCTCTAAATCCAACTGACAGAGTTGGTGTTCTAAGGCAAGCCGCAATTAAGGCCAAATGTGTAAAAAAAAAAGACAAGTAATTCAAGGAAAATTTTTCTTAAATGGAAAAAAATTTCAGAGGTTAAAGTTCTGGCCAATTATACACTGGATACTACAAAGAGATTTTTTTTAAATGGGCCCATATTGAAATTTCATAAAGAATAGTATTAGGCAAGTTTTTGACCCATTTCAGTGGGCACATTTCTGGTAGTTTTGGTTCAAGATGAAGGACTTATCTAGATGTAAATTATTTTCAAGAACATGAATGCATGGAATAAGCTATAGGAAACTTAAGACTGATGAAATTAAAGACATGTGGTTGAAAAGCAAAGTAACCAAACAGAACCTTTTCACTGAATTAATGCAATTAAAAGGAGACTTCATGTCTTCTGAAAATTATGTTTGCATTATAAACCCCAAAATGGAGTAATAAAATAACCTGTTATGGATGAAATGAAGCCACACCTCTGGCTCTCATTACGGCCCATAGATCTTTCTTTTCCTCTGTCCCAGTTCTGATATGTTACTGGTGATCCATCTCTCCAACTGCAAGAAAATTATGAAATGAAAGCTCTCTCATTCTGCGCATTCAGTCTCTAACACCATTTGTGGAGTTCTGGGGTATGGACTGGAGGCATAATTATTTTATTAAATTAAAAAAAATACTCATGTCTTTAGTTAGGGAAATGAAAATTTATAAGTTAATGTTTGAAAGCCATTCAACAGATTAAGCACTAAATCTAGTCCAATCACTCTGCGAATAAAAACCTGTCAAATAGGGTTAAATGCAAATTAATCTAGGTCCATACCGAAATTCATCATTGGCTCTTTCTTCTCGAAGTCCAATCCACCAATTTACACCATACTTTGATAGCTATTTAAAAAAGAGAGAGAGAATGTCAGCATTTATTCTACTTGTTTTCCCTTTACACTATTAAGATTAATAGGGTTGCTGTTAATAGCTTTCTATTCTTCAGTATTTTACCCAATTATTTAAAGAAGAGTACAGTAAGGCCTAGCATCTTGAGAAAACCTGAAAGTTCATTATTCTAAACTATTCGGTCCTCATTATAGAAGAAAATTGGAATCAAATATTTAAAATAATTTTAGTTTCATACATAACTTTGTTACAATGTTTCTTATATATGTGAAAATAAATTTTCTAACTCTCATAGTAGGGATTTATAATGTAATATTGTAAAGTGAAATAGAATGTGAATTCCTTTTTAAACTAAAAGTTTAGTGACTTATTCTCTCAATGATTTATAAAAATTTCCTGCAAAACCACACTACTTGAAAAACAATTCGAGGCATAAAGACCTCAATAGTAAAAAGAACTTGTATTTTAGGCATTAGTCTGGTTGTAAGTATTAGCACTCTCCCACATTCAAAAGGAAACTACAGTATAGGACAAAAGAATACTGCAGTATTTCCAGTGTTTGACAACTAGAAAATTATCCTTTCTATATTTTATTAATTTATGCCATTATTTATCACATAGATCTCAGTACAATAAAGAATAAACTTGAAACATCACAGACATGCATGTGCATATACACATTAGACCAGATGTAATACTGGACTTATGACCCAGGAAATTGAAACTCCCTCTTCAACTATAAAGGAAGAAGAGGCATTAAGGATTTCTCTAAGGCCTCTAAATCAATATTCTTTATTGTGTGTGTGCTGTGTGTGAAATGTAACTTAATTTTTTATGCTAAAAACCTGTTAATCTGAAGGCATTATACATGTAAATTTTCACTCTCATTTCTTCTGTAAAGACTTGGATATGCATTTAAAAATAGATATATATTTTTCCATGTGAATTTCAAGTCATCATACAACAGAACCTAATAGCTCTCTAACATTCTAATTTATACACGAGTATTTTTACTCCTTAACCAGTGTGGCTGTCTGCCACATCAGCAATTTGTGAATAATGCAAGATGGAGCAACTGTAATTTTGGCTCCCTGAGGTGTTGTTTCATGGACATGTTCTTACATGCTGAATTTAGGCTCCTATTGTCAGCCTTTGGAATGGGTCCATGGAGACTGGCTGTGAACTCAGTGGGAGAACCACAACCATTTCATTCAATCTAAAGAGGTCTTGTGTGCAACAATAGTGGAAATCATGGTCTGATTGTTCATTGCCCCAATTAAGGATCTCTAAAGAAAAATTACAACTACCACATCTTAAGTGGCATATTTATTACCACCTCAATTATAGCATGGTAATCCTTCATGTGGTACATCACAACCCATTGTGACATGGGACAGAACTTTGTAGGTCAAGTTAGAAAATACTCAGAGTGGAAAAATCCAATGTGAAAAATAGATGTTTTGAATTTCAGTTTAGGTGTGAAACCACAACAATAAAAGATATTAGTATTCTTTTGTATAAAAAATGTGATACAACAATGGATTTCATAATATCAATTATGTTTTGTTACAAGCATTCATTATAGATAGCATCATATGGAAAGAACACTTACCATAAACAAATAACCCACAGTAATATCCAATATACTAATCTACAAAGCAATATAAGGGAGAACAACCTGTTATCTCTTAAAATGTTTCCATAAAAATAGCAAAACCAAATTATTTTAAGGATTTAAAATACCAGATTTGGGGGGATGACTAATAGAGTTGATATATTTTTGTTAGAAATTTTTTGAAATAAAATTGAAAAAATAAGGGTAAATTGCAATTTTGAAATGCAAATATTTATTGCACAACAGAGCATAACAATATTAGTTCATGTTGAACAACTCATAAAGTGCTCATTGTTTTTATTTTTTTGGCATCGATCTGACCAATAAGATGACTCAAAAAATTTGTTCTCAAAAATTCCCTCTGATCATGCCTTGTGGTCTTCTATTAGTCAAAGAGGAAATTATGCCTCATCACTTTTCCAAGATGGAAACATTCTATTAAAAAATTCTGCTTCAGCCTTTTAAAAAACTGCATCCAGTTTTCTTTCTCAATAATTAGTTCTTCTACTCCCCCAAAGAATGATATTTTTGTTTTTCATATTTCTGAGTTACTCTTCTTTGTTGAGAAGCTATACAATACATATGTAACTTTAAAAATATATAATTACCTCTATTCTTCCTGCAATTATAGGATGGGTGTGCCACAAAAATGAGTGGTATGACCTCTACATGTTTAGTTCCTCATCCAGAACTTCTGGACTGACCTAAGAAATGTAGGTTACCACAAATACTACCACTGCCTTAAACAAAAATTGCCTAATAGCTACAAATTATGCAGGAGGAAGAACTGCTTTAGAATTATACAGCATTCTTTTCTCTAAATTGATACCCATTCCCTTTGGCTCCCTTGCCCCATTCTGTGTCTCCCCATCCTTTACCCTCTGATAACTTCCTTCTGTAGTGCACTGTGGTGTTGGATCAGTCAGCCACTCACCTGTAATACTGAAAGAACATTCTGTATCAACATGGTCATAGGCTAGGTAACACTTTTACCATCTAAGACACCACAGGGTTTGTCTGGTTTGGGATCACTAGATCTAATCCTCAACTCTAGATCATGGCACTGGCTAAGCCTTCTTAAATGGCTAAGCCCATGGGGTTCTACTATTCCATTCCATGAGAGGTATTAACTCGGCCATTCCCACTGGCTTCCCAGCCACCAAAGACTGAGAGAGTGAATTAAGGAAAAGGTGAAAAGAGAAGAATACAGAGGTTCTCCAAAGACCTAAGCTCTGCTGGAAGGATCAAAGAAGTCCTTCACTGTTCATGTCTGAGACAGAGCTGGCAGCTATCATTTGGGGAGGGATTTTATATTATTTTTAACTAATTAAAAAATTGAGGTATAGTTAATTTACAATATTATATTAGTTTCATGTGTATAACATAGTGATTCAAAATTTTTTACAGATTATAATCCACTAAATTTATTATAAAACAATGGCTATATTTCCCTGTGCTGTATAATATATCCTTGAAGCTTATTTATTTTATACATAGTAGGTTATACTTCTTAATCCTCTATCATTATCTTGCCCCTCCCCTTTTCTTCTCCCCAGTGATCATCACTAGTTCATTTTCTGTATCTATGAGTTTGTTTCTATTTTGTTATATTCATCATTTGTTTTATTTTTTAGATTCCACATATAAGTGATACCACACAGTATTTATCTTTCTCTCTGACTTACTTTATGAAGCACCATACCCTCTTGGTCCATATATGTTGTTGCAAATGGCAAAGTTTCATTCTTTTTATGACTAATATTCCACTGTATATATATGACACATCTTTATTCACTTATCTGTTGATGGACACTTAGATTATTTTCCTATCTTGGCTATTGACAAAACGTTGTCCACTGGAGAAGGGAATGGCAAACCACTTCAGTATTCTTGCCTTGAGAACCCCATGAACATGCCTTTTTATAAAGGCAAAAAGATATGGCACTGAAAGAAGAACTTCCCAGGTTGGTAGGTGCCCAATATGCTACTGGAGAAGGGCTCAGTAAAGAATGAAGAGGCTGAGCCAAAACAAAACAACACCCAGTTGTGGATGTGATTGATGACAGAAGTAAAGTCTGATGCTGTAAAGAACAATATTGCATAGGAACCTGGAATGTTAGGTCCATGAGTTAAGGTTTAAAGTGGAAGTGGTCAAACAGGAGATGGCAAGAGTGAACATCAACATTTTAGGAATCAGTGAACCAAAATGGACTGGAATGGGCAAATTTAATACAGATGACCATTACATTTACTACTGTGGGCATGAGTCCCTTGGAGGAAATCTAGGAGGCCTCATAGTCAACAAAAGAGTCCAAAATGCAGTACTTGGGTGCAATCTCAAAAATGACAGAATGATCTCTGAATCCAAGGCAAACCATTCAATATCACAGTAATCTAAGTCTATGCCCCAATCACTGATGCCAAAGAAGCTGAAGTTGAATGGTTCTATGAGGACCTACAAGACCTTCTAGAACCAACACACAAAAAAGATGTCCTGTTCATCACAGGGGACTGGAATGCAAAAGTGCATAGTCAAGAGATACCTGGAGTAACAAGCTAGTTTGGCCTTGCAGTACAAAGTGAAGCAGGAAAAAGGCTAACGAATTTTGCCAAGAGAACACACTGGTCATAGCAAACACCCTCTTCCAACAACACAAGAGAAGACTCTACACATGGACATCACCAGACTGGTCAATGCCGAAGTCAGATTGATTATCTCTTTGCAGCCAAAAATGGGGAGGCTATATATGGTCAGCAAAAACAAGACAGGGAGCTGACTTTGGCTCAGACCATGAACTCCTTATTGCCAAATTCAGACAAATTGAAGAAAGTAGGGAAAACCACTAGACAATTCAGGTATGACCTAAATCAAATCCCTTACGTTTATACACTGGAAATGACAAATAGATTCAAGGGATTAGATCTGATAGACAGAGTGCCTGAAGAACTACGGATGGAGGTTCAAAACATTGTATAGGAGGCTGTGATCAAACCCATCCCCAAGAAAAAGAAACGCAAAAAGGCAAAATGGTTGTCTGACGAGGCCTTACAAATAGCTGAGAAAAGAAGAGAATTAAAGGGCCAAGGAGAAAAGGAGAGATATACGCATTTGAATGCAGAGTTCCAAAGAATAGCAAGGAGAGGTAAGAAAGCTTTCCTCAGTGATCAGTGCAAAGAAATAGAGGAAAACAATAGAATGGGAAAGACTAGAGATCTCTTCAAGAAAATTAGAGGTACCAGGGAAACATTTCATACAAAGATGGGCACAGTAAAAGACAGAAATTGTATGGACCTAACAGAAGCAGAAGATATTAAGAAAAGGTGGCAAGAATACACAGAAGAACTATACAAAAAAGATCTTAATGACCCAGATAACTATGATGCTGTGATCACTCACCTAGAGCCAGACATTCTGGAGTGTGAGGTCAAGTAGGCCTTAGGAAGTATCACTATGAACAAAGCTAGTGGAGGTGATGGAATTCCAGCTAAGCTATTTCAAATCCTAAAAGACAATGCTGTGAAAGTGATGCACTCAATACGCCAACAAATTTGGAAAACTCAGCAGTGGCCACAGGACTGGAAAAGTCAGTTTTCATTTCAATTACAAAGAAAGGCAATGTCAAAGAATGTTCAAGCTCCCGCTCAGTTGCACTCATCTCACACACTAGCAAAGTAATGCTCGAAATTCTCCAAGCTAGGCTTCAATAATACACGAACTGAGAACTTCCAGATATTCAAGCTGGATTTAGAAAAGGCAGAGCAATCAGAGATCAAATTGCCAACATCTGATGGATCATAGAAAAAGTAATAGAATCCCAGAAAAACATCTACTTCTGCTTCACTGACCACACTAAAGCTTTTGACTGTGTGAATCATGACAAACTAGAAAATTCTAAAAGAGATGGGAATACCAGACCACCTGACCTGCCTCCTGAGAAATCTGTATGCAGGTCAAGAAGCAACAGTTAGAACCGGACATAGAACAATGGACTGGTTCCACATTGGGAAAAGGGTACGTCAAGGCTCTATATTGTCACCCTGCTTATTTAACTTATATGCAGAGTACATCAGGCAAAATGCTAGGTTGGATGAAGCCCAAGCTGGAATCAAGATTGCTGAGACAAATATCAATAACCTCAGATATGCAGATGACACCACCCTTGTGGCAGAGAGCGAAGAGGAACAAAAGAACTTCTTGATGAAAGTGAAAGAGAGTGAAAAAGCTGGCTTAAAATTCAACATTCACTAACTAGATCATGGCATCCAGTTGCATCACTTCATGGCAAATAGATGGGGAAACAGTGGAAACAGTGGCAGACTCTATTTTCTTAGGCTCCAAAATCACTGCAGATGGTGATTGCAGCCATGAAATTAAAAGACGCTTGCTCCTTGGAAGAAAAGCTATGACCAACCTAGATAGCACATTAAAAAGCAGAGACACTTACTTTGCCCCCAAAGGTCCATCTAGTCAAAGCTATGTTTTTCCAGTAGTCATATATGGATGTGAGAGTTGGACCATAAAGAAAGCTGAGCACCGAAGAATTGATGCTTTTGAACTGTGGTATTGGAGAAGACTCTTGAGAGTCCCTTGGACTGCAAGGAGATCCAACCAGTCCATCCTAAAGGAAATCAGTCCTGAATATTCATTGGAAGGACTGATGCTGAAGTTGAAACTCCAATACTTTGGTCACCTGATGTGAAGAACTGACTCATTTGAAAAGACCCTGATGATGGGAAAGACTGAAGACAGGAGGAGAAGGGGATGACAGAGGATGAGATGGTTGGATGGCATCAGTGACTCAATGGACATGAGTTTGAGCAAGCTCCGGGAGTTGGTGATGGACAGGAAAGCCTGGCATGCTGCAGGCCATGGGGTAGCAAAGAGTCGGACAGGACTGAGCAAATGAACTGAACTGACTGATGAACATTGGGGTGCATGTATCTTTTAAAATTAGTGTATTTATTTTTTTTCAGATATATACCTAGGAGTGGAATTGTTGGATTCTTTGAGGAAGCTTTGTGCTGTTTTCCATAGTGGCTGCACCGATTTACATTTCCACCAACAATATACAAGGGCTGCCTTTCGGAGGATGGATTGTTTTAATATAAGTCATATGCTATTCTGCTGCCCACAGCGGTTTTTGAAAATGACCTTTTAAGTCAGATGACTTGGGTTCACTTCCAAATTCCAAATAGCTGCTGTGTAACGAAGTTGTTTCACCTCTTTAGAGTCTTAGCTTCCTCATCTGTAAAATCTGCTGATGACAGATTTCCCACAGGGAGTTCTTAGAAAGATTGAATGCCATTAAACATTAGTACTTCGCAGTGCCTGACACTGTTACAGTAAGTATTGGCCAAAGATCACTTCCTTTTGGGATGTGCCCTTTACATGTTGATAGATTGGTTTTCACCTGGTCTCTTATTACTGCCACTTGGGGCAAGGAGTCTGCCTCTGCCGTCTAGCTGAAGAAACAAATATATTTTCTGAGGTCGTGATATATAACTCGTTGATACTTAATGTTCTGGTTTTGACTTGAGTGTTCCATATGTAGGAGATGAAGAGTAGTAATATAATGCATGAACCAATACTAGGGAATATCCTCTTCTCCTGGTTGGTCTGCTACTGTGTCTCTGTGGGGCAGTGCAGTCATCACCTAACCCCTTTGGTTCTTGGCTTTTCCATCAAAACTCAGTAGTGGACCCAACCTGCATCCTCCTCACTGTATGTGTATCAAAGAGAATTACAGAGACAGGAAAGCTCTATGAGATGGGAGGGAAGACATTTCTCTACATGTCAAGGATGCTTTAACATAGAACTTCTTTTTAACAGTTAACTTACAAACATATGAAAAGATGATAGATTAATAAAGGATTCCTGGAGACCATGAAATAATGTTAAATTATGGAAAAAGAAAAAAGACTCTCACTTACCTTTAACAGTTTCCTAGGGAAAATTAGGAATGAGGTTGTTCCTCCCTGGTGCCCCCTTGGTAGTCTGTATAGACTGCTCTTTTTTCGCTTACTATATCATGTTATTTCCAGCTTTTTAAAGACACTGACTATATCTCATTTTTGTGTCCTTGTCAAATACCACAGTGCCTGAGACAAAGCTAATGCTCAATAAATGCTTGCTGAAGGAATACACTGAAAACCTGACACTATTCCTTGGTAGTCTATTTCATATTTAACAGATTTTTCATGCTCCTTTCTAATTAGCCTAGCTTCTCAAAGGATTAAGTCCAGTCTTTATCTGAAGTTGAAATGTAGAACCACTCCTTATCATTTTCTGTATAGAGTCTAAAAAATATTATACTCTTATGAGTAACATTTGGGATTTTAAAACAGCATGCACCTTGTCCATCATTAGTGTTTTATCTTCCTGCATGCCTCAATCCACTTATCTTTTCCTAAAATGCTACGTAGTTCTATTTACTTGTATTGCTTGCAGTCTTCTTTTCTAGACTATAAGCTCCAGGTGGGTAAAATTTGATCTATTGTAAGTCCCTAGAATTGTAGATTCAGAATAAATATGCATTGAATGATGGAATGAACCTCACAAAACAATAAAATGCTACTCACTCATCCTTGTTGCTAAAAAAGCATGAGAAGTGAAATAACTCACAAGCATAGTAAACCTGTGTTTCCATTATTTCCTCTAAATCTTTGTAACAGGAGGAAAAACAATTCTTAAAAATCTAAGACTTTCAACGAAACAAATCAATGTCTGAAGTCTTTTGAAAACAAAACCCCTCAAGGACTGAAGAAGGAGTTAAGCTCTGAGTTTCTCATAGTTAATCGAATTTAAGTACCGCTCTTATTTTGCTGTGGATGAATTCTTGTTCATGTGCAGAATGAATAGTGAGAATATCACTGCGCAGCCAGCCACAGACAAACTCAAAGGAGGACCATTCTGAGGCAGAAATATGAAAAAGGTACTCTGCATCCTGATAAAAGAGCCAGGGTGCATCTGAAAGAGAAATAAGCAATGGAAGTGATACAACAGTTATTGAGCAATGTAATGCAAACTTAAACAGGGTGTGCTATGATTGACCTCACATGTGTAATTTAGTCATTCAACATTAAGAAAATGTGTGTGAATACACCTACTCCCACACATACTTAAGTATACAGTTTACTTATTTTCACTGGTCTCTTTCATATATGAAACACATATATTCCAAAGTCTGGGCTAGATATATATTTTAAAATCATGTGCCATAAAAATGGAGTTAAGCTATGATACTAGTCTTTAGTAATATTTACTGACATTTTGATTAAAAAAAATATTTATCTATTTATTTGGCTGCACTGGGTCTTAGTTGTGGCACGTGGGATCTTCTATCTTTGTTGTGGCATGCGGGATCATTAGTTAGTTGCGGCATGTTTAATCTAGCTCCCTGACCAGGGATGAAACCAGGGCCTCTTGTATTGGGAGTGTCGAGTCTTACTCACCGGACCACAAAAGAAGTCCCTAGTTTGATTACTTATGAATGGTTAATTTGAACAAATTAGTTCCTAATTGACACAAGAAAAGAGTAACTCCATTGGTGCTATATAATAACAGAGTAATGGTATAAAGCAGCATAAAGTTAGAAATTCAGGAGTAGTTCTTACCATACTGATACCAGGGTGGAACCTTGGGTCTCACATCTGTAAAGTAAAAGCAAGCCAGTGTGAGTGACATTTATTTTCAGATGTACTATCTCTGAATTACTTCAGGCCTAAACACAATATTTTGGACTTTGCTTTTTAAAAGATTATTGAGAACCAGATGTTGTTTGGAAAGTGATCAGTTCTCCTACTTGAAGAGGAGGCTCAAGAGAGAACTCTGGTTAAGGAAAAAAGGTTGTGAACACTTATTGTTTGTCACACACTGTGCTGGTGCTTTCACTTACTCATCTGGTAAGTCATTTTGTTTGTTTGTAATGTCACAGTGACATTTCTTCCAGGTTGTATTTGCAAAATACGATACTCCACAACATGGCAGTTATCTTCATTTCCCACTAGCTTAGCATACTGCACTGGTGTCATTTTTTCTCATTCCACCATGATATACATATTTTTCTAGAATGGTGCAATCTAGTTCATCATGAAGGTTGTTGGTACTGTGGTCCAGACTGCTTAAATTTTAGACCTCTGTAACTGTTGCCTTGGGAAAATGCTACAGATGATTAGAAAGCAAACAAATAGTAAAGATCTTAATATGTTTACCTCTTGGAATTTTGCATATCCATTCACGTTTGGAACCACAGTATGAGGGTAGCAACGTTTTATTTGCCTTATAAACAGCACAGTTTCTTGCATCTTCTCCAAAATAAGAATTGTCTAAAAATGAAGAGACAACCTGCAGCAGATGAAGTTCATTATTCCTTAATACTGATTCCCTGCAAAAGGTTTCAAATGATCAAAAAGGCAGCCCCACAGAAAATCACAATAGACTTCTGGAGTAAGCAAGTTATGATGCCAGTTAAAGGTGGTTCCACATTTGTGAAAAGCAAGCTAATGAAAACTGCAGCATTTTTTCTTGAAGATTCTTTTTCTGTTTTTTTTTTTTTTTTTTTTTTAAAGAGGCATGCTACTCCTTTCTCCAGAAGGAATAAGTCAGATGAACTTGCACTGTTTTCTCACTTAAGGTTAGGCTAGCTCTGGGATCCTGGGTAAACATTTTAGTGGCTCAAGGATCTTTCAGAATTGAATCTCATCTTTGATGTAAATTCTTTTGCTTTTAGTCTCTAATACTAACTTCTAAGTCAACCCTAGCTTTAATCAATAAACTATCTATTTCTATGAATGACCATACAACAGGAGTATTGACTAGAGATTCAAACTTCTCAATGATTTAATGACTACTTGACAGAAATGTGGACAGACCATAAGTAAGACTCAGGTAAAAATCTGAAAAAAAGAGGGTTTTGAAATGATTTACGTTTCCCTGGTAGCTTAGGGGTAAAGAATCTGCCTGCAATGCAGGAGACACAGGTTCGATCCCTGGGTTGGGAAGATCCCCTGGAGAAGGAAATGGCAAGCCACTCCAGTATTCTTGCCTGGGAAATCCCATGGACAGAGGAGCCTGGCAGGCTATATCATCCATGAGGTCGCAATAGTTGGACACAGTTTAGCAACAAAACCACTACCACATACTCACCTTCAAATATGTACAAAGTCATGCAATAATTCATCTAACTTATATATATATATACATATATAAAGCTCAGATTCAGAGAATGGCATGAGTTTGATACTTATTTTATCCAGTGGTAAGTGGTGAGGGACTCAGTCCACTGCTTCATGGCTTTATCTCATTGATTCTGAACCAAATTGTCTATGCCTTTCCTATTACTAATAAGTTTGTTTGTTTTACTAAAAGACATTGTCGACCTCTATGCACCACATTTTATTTTCCAAGTGCCATATTGATAGTAACCACCCAACTGTGCTATGTGGTGGCTGCCATTAATGGGGCAGGTCAACCCTGCGTTATGCCCCTTCCACTCTCTGGGCCTTGGCTTCTTCATCAGCAGAATAGATAGATGAGGCTAGGTCATCTGCAAGATCTCTTCATTACCTCTGGTTCTGGCGCCCTTTTCAAAGAAGCAGTACTGGCGTGGTATTGTGTGGGTTTTTTTTTTTTCCAACTAGCACACTCATTATTTTTATTCCCACTTAAGCATATAGTTTTTCTGAAAACCATTTCCTTGCTACAGATTTGAACACCATCTATGTATCAGGTCTAAAGATCCCTTTTCCCTATTGATTTTTACTATGTCAAAGTTTGGCTGCTGCTATTTTGCCAATGAGGAGACTTTATGACATTGTGGCTTTGGAGGGAGACAACCTGTATACAAATGCTGTCTCTCTTATGTATTGTTTTAGGCAAACTACTTAATCATTTTAATACCCACTATGTCGAATCACTGTAATGATGAAAAGAGATGATGCAGGGTTGCACTCAGCTCAGTGCTCAGAACTTAACTGGGGCTCAATGAATAGGAGCTGTATTAAATGCTCACTGCAGGCTGCTGCTAACCCCAGTTCACTGGTGAACTATACAATTTGATTTTTCGCGTGCCTTCAGATGGATCTCATTTTAATCTGGGTTACTGCTTCTGTTTTTTTTTTTTTTTCCCCTATCATGAGCAAGATCTCAGAAATCCTCATAGTGCCTGAAAAAAAATGTAATTGTGAGTTCCTTCTTTCCTACATGAGGTTTTTACACATAAGAGGCTGAGTGAGAAACAATTTTTTTTTCCTCCCAAATAATTTTCTTTGACTGAGAAGGAGGTGCAGCTTCTTAAACCTGGCATTTCTGTTCTTTTAAAGTGAGAGAAACTGAAGATATTTCTTTTCACTGTGACATAGACAGAGGTCTCACCCTCATATGATCAGGTGCTATGCTGGAGAGGGAGGGTGGGGCAAAGGAAGCATGATATTATTTTAAAGAACAGTTGCTTCTCTGCTGGAGATTCTTCACATGGGAGATGGTTTTCAGGGCTTTTTCAGAGATTTTTATTTCCTTTTAGGATGAGACTTTATAGCTAGCTGTGGAACTATCTGGCTAGCAAAGGTTTCTCAAGACCTTGCTGAAATAACTCTTTTAATGCCAAGGTCTGGGGCAGTTTTTAATTTAGGTCTGAGTCATAGGGAACATGGCTGTTCTTTTCAGGTTCTCTTGGTTGGTTTTCCAAGTGGTTCCAGGGCCACCTGCTTTAAATTCATCTCCTTTTCTCCAGCTTGGAAAGACTTACAGGAGTTCCATCAGACCATTCCCAAGAACCAGCATTCAGTGGGTTTCTTTTATTAAATCCAATCCAGAACTGCCTTTCTTCTGTCCTGTGAAGAGAAAAACTAAAACTTGGCCCTTTGCAATGAATTCAAAATATTATATAACAGGTTCAAAAATTCTTTGAAGTATTTAGTTATGCAGGAGACAGCTAACATGACTAGCAGAACTGATCAAGTGAGTAAGCATTTATTGACCATTTCCCGTAAGCAAAACCAGAGCTATAAAATGAACTGAGCAAAGACTAATCTCACTTCCCACCTCTCTTGGTTTGTATGGCATGCTCATTGGGGATGGGCAGTTGGGAGAAAAGTCTGCCCATATTGAGAATGTGGCTTTCTCATGGTCGTTAGGAATGGCAACACCTTTCCATTAGGGCAAGAATACATGAAAGTGAGTTGGTAAGAAATTTGGGAACATCTTTTCCCTACTTTTCCTTATTTATTTACTACTTTACTGCATATTTATATTACTTTTCTATGTTTGTTGTTCTTTTGTCAAATGTTCATGTACTCTCTGAGCGTTAATCATCACCACCACCATTTAATAAAAGGTTTACAGCAGGTTTGGTTCCTCCAACCATATCCCAGGGTAAATAATTCCACGATGAATCAGTCTGAGGCATGGTAGGTTAACTTCAGCCATCACCACTGATTAGACTTCATGAAAAGCCCCACAGAGAACCATCTTCCCTCCTATTAGGTGGTGGAGCAATATGTTAAACCACAGAGTATTCAATACATCAAGCAATAAAGGCTAATAGTACAATGAACCATCTCACTAAGATAATTTTCTGAGGATAATTTTGAAGAATTAAAGATTTAAAGGATTGAGAAGTCATGACAGATGCTTTATTTTCCTTAGTGCAGAGAAACAAGCCTATTGTGAAGTATCTCCTCAGATGTTTGAGCTCTTTTTGCTGAATGATACAAATGAAAGTAAAATGTGACTTAGAAAATTCCAGCATCACTGAGACCCACTGGTCACTGCCATGATTATAGCTTACATTTAAGGTTGTGGGAAGGTGAGAATGCTGCCTTAAACTTAAGCTAGGCAGATTCATCTCAGTGACCAGGCTGAAGACCCACATCACTCTCCCTGTGTTGAGAAGTTTTTATTCTTTTTCTCACTGAATTCAGGGTTCTACATTTTTCCTGCCATATACTCACTCCTAGAATATGAACTGGTATTTATTTTCTCTCCAACAATTGCCTAAAGTTGTATAATTTTAACTAGTTAATATATGATAAAAATAAAAATAGAAAAACAGTGCCATAGGAAGAAGAAGAAGCACTATGCTAATGATGAGCATTATTATTATTATTAATTTATTATTATACTAATTATTAATATCATTAATTGTTGTTAATAAATGATGGTTTATTTGGTATAATTAAGCATGAGATTTGGCTGAACTCCCTGGCAGTCTTGGACAAAGAGTAGAATATACATTATATAGCTTTTGTGATTAGGTGTGATTTTATGAATATCAATAATTTGATAGATACTTGACACTGAATTCTGTGAGACATTCCAAGTGTGAGAATTTATATAAACAGAAGTGATATAATGAAACTTGATGTTACAGCAAACTTGGAGGCAGTTTGCATGTATTGTTTCATAGGGCAGACCTTACAATACACAAGTATGAAAGGATGTTTTACAAGGGGCTGAGGCTTTGATAGTGTAGACCACAACAAACTCTGGAAAATTCTTAAAGAGATGGGAATACCAGACTAACTGACCTGCCTCTTGAGAAATCTGTATGCAGGTCAGGAAGCAACAGTTAGAACTGGACATGAAACAACAGACTGGTTCCAATTAGGGAAAGGGGTATGTCAAGGCTGTATATTGTCACCCTGCTTATTTAACTTATATGCAGAGTACATCATGAGAAATGCGGGGCTGGAAGAAGCACAAGCTGGAATCAAGATTGCCAAGACAAATATCAAATCAGATTTGCAGATGACACCACCCTTGTGGCAGAGAACAAAGAGGAATTAAAGAGCCTCTTGATGAAAGTGAAAGAGGAGAGTGAAAAAAGTTGGCTTAATACTCAACATTCAGAAAACTAAGATCATGGCATCTGGTCCCATCACTTCATGACAAATAGATGGGGAAACAGTGGCAGACTTTATTTCTTGGGCTCCAAAATCACCGCAGATGGTGACTGCAGCCATGAAATTAAAAGACACTTGCTCCTTGGAAGAAAAGTTATGACCAACCTAGACAGCATATTAAAAAGCAGAGACATTACTTTGCCAACAAAGGTCCATCTAGTCAAAGCTATGGTTTTTCCAGTAGTCATGTATGGATGTGAGAGTTGGACTATAAAGAAAGCTAAGTGCTGAAGAATTGATGCTTTTGAACTGTGGTGTTGGAGAAGACTCTTGAGAGTCCCTTGGACTGCAAGGAGATCCAACCGGTCCATCCTACAGGAGATCAACCCTGGGTGTTCATTGGAAGGACTGATGCTGAAGTTGAAACTCCAATACTTTGGCCACCTGATGTGAAGAACTGACTCATTTGAAAAGACCCTGATGCTGGGAAAGATTGAAAGCAGGAGGAGAAGGGGATGACAGAGGATGAGATGGTTGGATGGCATCACTGACTCAGTGGACATGAGTTTGAGTAAACTCCGGGAGTTGATGATGGACAGGGAGGCCTGGCATGCTGCAGTCCATGGGGTCGCAAAAAGTCAGACACGACTGAGTGACTGAACTGAACTGACTGAACTGAGGTCATGAAGCCAAGTTACAACTTATAACAGTGGAGATGATCACATCTCCCTTGGATCTGAGGCCCCATACATGACTAGCAATCCAATAAACCAGGAAGCTTCTTGAACTTTTCCTCAGCCTCAGAGAATCTGTCTGACTCAGCAGCCCTGGCATGAGACTAGAGGGCGCCTTGTTATCAAGTTTCCCAAGTGAGTGTGAGAATCAGCCAAGTTTGGGAACCATGGTCTCAGGCCAGCTTTTCCTGCAGGGCCTAGCAGTTGTACGGCATTTTAGATAAGTGGTATCAAAAAAAAAAAAGGTTTGTGGTCAAAGAAAGAGCTTCCTTCTAGAAGCCTTTACAATACTAATGTATACGGCAACTTTCCAAGATAGCACCTTATTTTGCAAACATATTTGACCACAAAATCCCCCTATTTCCCCTGTAGTGCTCCATGAGACACACATTGGGAGACAGTACCACCTTTAAGGTCATTTTTATAGACGCTAGAGGTGAATAATTTGATGGTGTTACACATTAACCTTCTTAGGGGAGAGTTCTAAAGGAAACTTATGGGGTAGGCCAGGATTTTCCTCAAAAAGTAGTTCTGGATTTTCTCAGAGATTCAGATAAGTGTTTCATTGAGACTTCAGACTTCCAGAGCTTGGAACACAGTGCTCAGTATTATATTTGTTTGTGTTAAAATAAATGTATGAAAGTGTGCCACGCCTTCTCCTCTCAGACCACAACATCCTCAGGGGTAGGATTTTGTGTCACATCTGTTGCATTTTCCAGCCACCCATGCATTGCTGGTGGCTCAGATGGTAAAGAATCCACCTGCAGTGCAAGAGACCTGGGTTCGATCCCTGGGTTGGGAAGATTCCCCTGGAGGAGGGCATGGCAACCCACTCCAGTATTCTTGCCTGGAGAATCCCATGGACAAAGGAGCCTGGCAGGCCACAGTCCATGGGGTCACAAAGACACGACTGAGCGGCTATCACTTTCACTTTCATGCATGTAGCAGTGTCCCTTTCACAGAAGACTTTCCCCAAATACATGCTAAGACAAGAACATTCTACAGTAAGAGGCCAAGGAATGAGAAGGCTCGCTAAAAGAGAACATGATGGCTGTTTTCAAATATTTGAAAATTGAGTAGACTTGATCTGTATTGCTCTGGCTTATTACTACAAAGTTGATCTTTGAAACTAGCCTCCAACAATGGAATGGATTATATCCCAAGTAAGGAGCACTTTGAAACTGAAAAGAATTATGTAGACAGTAGATGGCCATAGGCACTTGGTAGAAGAAATTCCCCTAGTGGACTGAGGTAGCACAAGACCTCTTATGTTTCTTCAAATTTAAATTTGATTGATTTTCTAACTTCACAGAATTGAAGATTCTGTAAACTTGCAAGATGGATGCAAACAAGTGAATGCCCTGTTTCCTCATATGTAACATTCAGAAGGTTGGATTGAAATTTTTTAAAAATATTAGTGAGACTTTCTTTTTTTCAAACAAAACCTCACATGGATCCCTTCTGCATACAAAACACCTGGAAGTGAAGTCGGTTGGACCTACTCTGGTGACTCGAGTCAGTGCACAAGAAGCTGATTGCCCACTTGACCTCTTCTGCTCTGGGGGTTCAGGACGTTCCAGACCCTCAGATAACACTTCTGCTCTGGGGGTTCAGGGCCCTTCAGACCTTCACTTAACACTTGGAAAATCACTGGGATAGGCAATTTCTGAACTTGGCAGAAAAACTCTAAAATTCTGTTATGAGGCACACAGAAAAGATTTCAAGTATCAAAACAATCATTACTTTGTTCATTGTTTTATGGAATGAGAACTTAGTGCAATATAAATATAAAATTATAGGTATGTATTTTGCTCTCACAACTAGTTGCTTGTTGGTTTTAAACTTAAATACCTGAGGTTTTGAATATCCCAAACACTCCAAATATTTGGAATACTCAGCCCTAAGAAGTCATCACTGGGAGACAAAATATTTGACTGTGATTTTTCAAAATTAACAAGTATTTACCGATTAAATTTTGAATGTAAAAGCTCATTCACAAAATTCTCTTCCTCAATATGGGCAAAGCTTGCAAGATGAGCTCCAAATTCTTCACAAAATTCTTCAGCTTCTCTCCATGTTCTTTTCATCAGGACTTTTTCACTATGAAATACCTGTATAGAAAAAGGGAAAAAGGTTGACACAGTCATAAATAACATAAGGCTGTTTAATTCTGGACAAAAAGATTACAGTAATATAATTGTTGTCATTATTCTACATTAAAGGCTTGACCGAGAAAGGAGAAATAATATTTATTGAACTAAAATGTATCTACTTGTCTAAAAACTATTATCTCATTTTATTCTCAAAACAAAGATGTGAGGAGGATATGATGAGGACTCTTTTCCTCCATAAGAATTCTTTTTGCCCCACTCCTAAATATCCAGTGACTGGTATATGCTTGTCCCTTAGTAAAATGTTTGTCAAGAGATGAGGAGAATCAGGCTAAGAGAAATTTACAATTTCCGGTCAACAAATTTCAGGTTACAAATTCAGGTTACAAATTTCAGGTCAACACAGCCACAGACTAGCAGAGCTAGGAATAGAATCAGTATTCTGTGGCTGAAGGAATCTGGCTGACTCGGGAAGAAATGAGAACTGAGACCTGAAACCTAAGGCCGGTATATTTCTAGGGCCTTGAGTCTTGTGTGCTCTTTTTATGCTCAGTCGTGTCCAACTCTTTGTGGCCCCATGGACCATAGCCCACCAGGCTCCTCTGTTCATGGGATTCTCCAGGCAAGAATACTGGAGTGGGTTGCCATGCTCTCTTTCAGAGTATCTTCCTGACCCAGGGGTCGAGCCTGCATCTCTCATGTCCCCTGCACTGGCAGGCAGGTTCTTTACCACTAGTGCCACCTATATTTCTAGGGCCTTTGGGTCTTACCTGTACCTAAATTGTTGTTTCTCAGCTGTCCTCAAAGTGGCATGAAGAAGTCGGTCAAATGGAAAGTATGCTTTTGACTTTATTTAAGGTCAAGTGTGAGGAACCAACGACCCAGGGCTTCAGATCCCAGACCTCTGTATCTTCCTTATTCTTAACTGCCTGATGCTGTGCTTGAGTCTCTGATGCCAGGCGGGCACCCTGCAGCCAGGCTTCACCACGCTCTAATTTGCTGAGACCAGAATGAATGACCTTCCCAGTCCTATGGACCACAGCAAAGCCTTTCCGTCTTTTAAATTATATGTCAAAACTCACCTCCCCTGGGAATCTTTTTTCAAATCACTTTAAATTCATAAGTCCTACTGCTATGCCTATCAAACACACCATATATTTGTTGATGTATCAGGGTAATGTGTAGTAGAAAAAGCACTGGACAGGTAGTCCCAACACCAGGAATTTATTCTGTCAATAAATAATTGTGATCTTGGGTAAATCACCCCATCTCACTGCATGCTGCAGTATACTCATTTCCAAGGTTTAACTTATTGCTCTGTGAGGTTACTCCTGGGCCCATTATTCCATGAATTTAATGTAGGATTAGACATGTGTACATGTAAATTGAGTGCATTCACAAGCCATTTATGAGACTGCAATATTTCTAGAGACAGAGGCTGTCTCCATTCTGCTCTTCATGTGCCCATGTGCCAGAGAAGAACTTTGTCCCAGCATTTTGGAAATCTCTATTTATATGATGAACCAAAGATAAAGCCAGCAAACAAGAACATCATATTTCAAAAATATATTTCTGAGAAGATAATAGACACTGACTTAAATCTAGGATCTGAAGATGATTTGCAAAAAGACATTTCTTCACACAAAACATATAAACTTTTGATCATCAAAAACTGCCAAAGCTATTCTTGGCAGCAGAATGGCATTATTCCATAATAAGAACTTTATTCACTGGCTTACAGACAATATGGAATTGTACCATTTCCATACCCAGTGAGTGTCTGCCTTGTCCATTTGTAGGCAATAAGAATAATATTGACTGGAACCTTAATATCAGTCCTCATGAGGAGGCCTTGGTGTCACCAGGATCTGTCAACACTTTCACTTAAAAATTATTTTGGAATATAACTGAAGGGATGGAGACAGCCAACAAATACTAACTGCCTGCTGTCTGCCAGGCACTGTTCTGGAATAAAGGAACTCAGGATACACAGACAAAGTTGAAATAATGTTGGTTCCATTGAGAATGCCCATGTAACTTTCACATTACCTTGAAGCAACTGGCCAGGCCAGGCTCTGACTCCCAATCCAAATAGCAGGGGTGAAAGGGCCATCCTTCTTCTTGCTTGGTTTTCTCCCGATTTTCCACTGGTTGCTTGCACAGGGACATTGCCTTAAAGTGTCTACAGTCCTTCACTTCCCAGCGACCAGGGTGACTCCTCCCTCGCATGACAACACAGCCACCACTGTAGCCTAAAAAGCAGAAAACAACACTGTGCTACCAGACCACTAGAACATTTTGTGCTTGGAAGACAGCTCTTTAGAGTGTTGGGTAATTGACATCTTGTAATGAAGCACCCAGACAAGAACAATAAAGATGAAAAAGGATGCTTTAGCGGCATGATCATCTCATTTCTCTTCATCTCTGGAGAAAAGAATAGTAGATCGAAAAGTGAGAGAAGAGAGACTACGCAGTCTGAAATTTGGGCATTTTGAGCTCAGATGGCAAATGATGGGCAATCAGGTGCTGTTCCAATGTGGGACAGAAAATATCCCTCATATCTCATCAAATGCCAACATGCCTCTACTTTGAATTATTGAGCTTTTTAACTGTGCAAAGGAAATCTTAACTCACAATTTATTGAGCAGCTACCCTGTACACTGTGCTTTCAAACACTACTATGAAAAATTAGCAATGAAAAATGCATGGTGCTGATCCTCTGAGAAATTGATTCAACAGGAAAAAATACATCGATGATGGAGTCAGGCAGTGTGTGAGGTACTCAACAGAGAACCTCACCTCACTATGGGAGAATGAAGTATATTCCAAATGGGGTTAAATTCTGGGGGCAGCAGTGGGGGCAGACATCAGGGAAAAACCATCTTGTTATGGGCAGGCCCCATTTTATTCTTTTGTGTATGTTTGAACATACTGGAAAATGAAGTATATTTTCCCAGAAAAGCAATTTCTAGGTTAAGATTCTCAAGTTTGTCATCAGATGTATACAACTCATATGGTAGCTGAAAAATACACTTCAAATTTCAGTGAATAGTAGAAAATCCCCTCGAAAAATAGAATAAAAATTGAGTAAAAATGAGGCTTTTTTTTTTTTCTTGAATCCAGAGTGATCATTCAATGAACTAAATCAACATTCAGCAACAACAACAAAATTGTTTATCTACATCTACATACCACTGGTAGTGGTTTAGTCACTAAGTCACTCTTGTGACCCCATGGACTATAGTCTGCCAGGCTCCTCTGTCCATGGGATTTCTCAGGAAAGAATACTGGAGTGGGTTGCCATTTCCTTCTCCAGAGGATCTTCCCAATCCAGCGATTGAACCCATGTCTCCTGCATCACAGGTGGATTCTTTACTGACTGAGCCACCTGAGAATACCAGACTAGGCTGTATATTATTAGCTCATTGAGATAAAAGGACAAAACAAAACCCAATTCTTATAGTTGAGTGTGAGACACAAATAAAGGATTAATTGTAGCAGAGATACTGTGTGAAGTGCTATAGTAACGGTGTGCGTTAACATTTCTGTGGGGAGACCTCAGAAAGGGTGATGGAGTCTGCCTCAGGACATTGGTAAAGTATTTGCAGGTAGAGATTTGAGCTGCATTTTGGAGGAAGTTAAAAGGAGAAAAGAGTTTTCAAGGGGTGCTTGTAAAAAAGTAAATGATTATAGATGAAGCATACGAAGACTTGTGATGATTCTTGAACTAAAGGCACTTTAAAAAGTATAGTTACTTGGTACTAGATATTTGTCTTGCTGAATTCCCCTTCAGAAGTAATGGCTTCAATTTCTGTAGATAGGGGGTAATTGGCATTATCCTTGCCAGCCATGTTTGTGTTGATTTATGCTGATAGACAGGCTTCTCCAGTGGCTCAGCAATAACGAATCCGCTTGCAGTGCCAGAGAAACAGGAGATAAAGGGTTTGATCCCTGGGTTGGGAAGATCCCCTACAGAATGGAATGGCAATCCACTCCAGTATTCTTGCTTGGGAAATCCCATGGACAGAGGAGCCTGATGGGCTATGTAGTCCATGGGGTTGCAGAGTCGGAGACGACTGAAGTGACTTAGCACACGCATGCACACTAATAAAAAGACTAAACAGAGGGATAATGAAAAGTGGAATGAGAAGGAAGAAGACAGAGGAAGATGTACAAAGAGCCCCTCCTAGAGAAATGGAAAGGTGTTTGTGAAAGAGGAGAAAGAGCAAGGAAGCTAAAGCATGAGTGTTTATGTCTTCAACCATACCTGGGTGCACACCCTGTGTCAGGCACCTGCAGGAAGCTCATAGTCTTATGTATGTACACACGGTGATGGTCACAGAAACCCTCAGAGGTGAAAATGACCAGTCATAAACAAGTAAACATGATTGTATGACAAGTAGAAGAAACAAGTCAAGAGAGAGAGTTGGTCCATATAAAGACCATCAGTTGACTCCACTGGCCAGAGGAACTAGTTAGGTTCAGGATGGAGGGTGGGGGGACCAGGCAGGGGACAGAGTATAGCATACTGCCCCTGCCATGAAGGGAGCATTGGAGGCCTGTTGAGTGTAATTTGGGAATGCAGCTCACAGTTTAGCTGAGTCAGGAACAATAGTGGAGATGCTGCCTGCTCTGTGCAATGAAATTCTAATGAAATTGAACTATGGAAATCCACGTGGAAGCCAAGCCTAATATGTCTATGGAGAGAATTGCTCTGGTTGAAAGAGCAAGAGAAACACACAACTCTCACCTGACTCCTCCATCCTTTCTTCTTAGCAGCCTTTGACTTGGGGCCTAAAGTGTGGGGTTCTAGTCCCAGCACAAATATTTAGTAACTCAAACCTCAGACTGGTTAATTAAACACAAAAGGCTGTGTCTAAAACACGAGGGCAATAATTCCTTTTCTTCTTATGGATTTTCATAAATAAAAATAAAATAATGTATTAAGAAGCCCTGTGAGAGATATAAAGGGCTAGAACCGTCCCTAAGATGTTGCTTTTATTTTTATTTTGACTGTTTTCATTATAAAAGCTGGGATTTTTGTGGCACAAGTTCTGCCTGTGTTCAAAGAATTTTTAAAAGCTCAAATCAGCAAGTTTAAAATGCAACATACTTTTTTGTTGGTCTTGCATTTTGTCTTACTTTCCCACATCAGACAGTGATTAAATAGCTTTGGTTTTAAACACTAGATATTCAACTTTTCTTCATTAGTGAAGAAGGAGATGTTTGCGAACTGCTATGAAGATAAAAAGTACTGCTGGGGTTTTATTGGTATTCTAAAATAGTTAACTTAATGGAACATTTGACCTAAATTTTAGAGTCTCAGCCCCAAGGAGGCGGTGAAGTGGTATAATAAGGGGAGACTGGGCTAAGAAAGAGATAAACCAAATTTATAACCTCATGTTGTGAGGATGCTTGTAAAGCCAAATAACAAGGGTAGGGTGTGGGAAAGAGTACAGGTGTTTCTTCTCCCAGACTAATTGTTCTCAAATTTGGTAACTCATCTCCCATTGGGCAAGAGCAACATTCCTTCTGTCCCTTGGTTGTGAATCTGACATTTGAGCTCATTCTCCTTACTTGCCTTAGCCTCCCTCTACCTGCTTTTCCTCTCTCCATCAAATATGAATGGGAACACTTTCAGTCAATTGAGAAATTCCAATTCACTATTCTAGTTCCTTCAATTTGGCAAGGTTATCTAGCCTTATAGCAAATTGAACCAACCTGGGAAAAGTTCCATCTTTCACCTCTCTGGCCAAATACCTGAAAACAAACAAACCGAATCTATGTGTGGCCTCGGGGCAGGAGGGAATCATAACTGGGCCTTTAGACAGTCATTTTACTTGCACCTATCTGCTTATTTCCCCTTGCCTGCAGCAACCCTTTAACATCCTTAATCTCAAGTCTTCTACTCAGGCTTCTTTCATCTCTCTCTTCTCCTTCTCCATGGAGAAAAGTGAAGCTTTTGGGTCAGGAAAGGTGAGCTTTCATGGAGTTCTGCTTATCTGCCTGAGACCACATTAGGCATTTTATATGGTCTTTTCCCTGTTTAACTTGAAAAACCTCTTTGAGGTGGATATTAGTGTCTATAGTTGGCTAATGGAAAAACCAAGGCTCAGAGGTGTAGAATCTTGTCGAGGGCCACATAATAGTTCAATAAGGTTGATCTGGAATTTGAAACCAGATTTAACTGAGTCTACCATGAGATAATGTCAAGGTGCAGAGGAGGTAGACATTCAATAAATAACTGTTGAATGAATAATTGAAACTTGCCCTCCAATTATGCTCCTCCATTACCATGGAGTCTTCTCTTTCCCCTGGTCACACTTCTCTCCTTTGTGAACCCAAAGTATTTCCTTGAGATCTACTATCACATTTTAGTGTGTATGAGAGTTACTTATATACTTATAAAAAGATATGGAAATACCAAAAGGGTACTCAGAAATTAGGCTGTTCATTCTCATTTAGGTGTTGGTTCATTTCAGGATTCTGATGAGACTTAAAATGGATAATTATCTATCTGTTGGATGGATAGGGTCCCCCTTGCCATGAATAGGGCACTTTCAAGAAAATAGATCTGACCTGCTCTACTGCAATCCTATTCTCCTTGTCACTGACAGCAGATTTCCATTGACTTGAGAAAATTGGGGGCAATACTTTGGAGTTATCCTGTGAGTGAAGCACTTCTTTCTCACAGTGGTATCTAGATAAAGAAACAACTTGTTTCACAGAGCCTGAGTTATGGATGGATGCAAAATTGTGATTTCCGTTTTATTTTTTTCTATAAAACACCTGTGAAGCTCTAATAGTATTTGGAAAGGCTTTTTTGAATACCTTAAAGGATAGATTAACCTGCTTTATTTCATCATTTATAGCAACCTCCATATATATTGAATCCTTAATATAAATACAAGGTACATTTAGGTTTCTAATGCATTAGCTTTTCCCTAAATGAGAAAGGCCCTATTCATCATCTTTCTCTTTAATCAGTAGTACTAGTTAGTATGGATCAAAACTGTTTTTACCTGAATGGTTACTTCTCTTAATATACAGAATGCCATAGTCGCTTTGCTGTTGGTTTAGTAAAGATAGCAAGAAATTATTTCTTAATAGAAATATCCCAGCTATGAAGAAGCCCCTAATGAATCAATTGACTCATTAATGCATCAATCATTAATGGCTTCTAACTTGTGAATAGTGAGAAAATGAAATGGTCTTTCTAAAAAAATAAGAATCTATGATTTGGATCAGGTCT